AATGATACCCAATTATTTTAAACAAAAAAGAATAGCAGACTTGATTTTCTTTCCCTTCAAAGTATATTCTGTAATTCTGGCATTGAGAAAATCCATGACAAGTCTCAAGAGCAGAGAATATTTCACCTGAATCCTACAAAAATAATGTGCTTCAAGTGGTAGTACGAACATTCTCGATTTCTGGTAAAATAGTACATTAGGTTGTTCTTCAAAAATTCTACTTTAAAAAATCAGGTTACTTGAAGATTTGTGATTGAGTTGTAGAAGCATTTTATATATTCTGAAAAATACATCCATTGTCAGAAATAACTTTCTCTGAGCTTTGCCTGTTTTTTTTTTTAATGATGCCTTTTGATGAGCAGAAGTCATTGTGAACCATTCCATAAATTTTAACAAATGTATATGGTTATGTAACTACCATTACCATCAAGATTTAGAACATTTTCATCACCCTCAAAATCCCCTCAAGTCCCTTTGTAAAACACTTTCCTGTTTTCTGTCTCCACAGTTTTTCCTTTTCCTGAAGTGGAATCCTATAGTGTGTTATCTTTCACTTAGCATAATGCATTTGAAATTAATCATTATTTCATTTATTAGTTGTTCACTCCTTTGCTGGCCTACTAGTATTCTATTTTATGGATGTGGCATGCTATTTCTTAGTAGCCATGTGATATTCTGACCAAAAAACTATATTTGGAACCCCCTCAAGTTGGGAAAGAGAGGAGGGGGGAGAACCCTTTCTAAATAAAAAGCAGAATTTCTTTTGTTTCTTTTCCCTTCTTCCTCATGGAATGGAATAATCATGCAGCTACCATTTTGTTTGAAAGCCAAATATTAAAGATGGAAAATACATGGGATAGGAGATTTAGTTCTTAATGATTCCATGATGTCTTATCCTGTACTTGTACCTGAAGATTTGATTAAGCAACTGTTGTCATCTTTTCTGTTTCTTGCAAACTAATCCTAACTGAAACAGTTTGTGTGCCTGTGTGGGTGGGAGGGAGAATGGGTGTCTGTGGGATATGGTTAGAGAAGGCTGGAAACCTAGATTGGCCATATTATCTGGACTGAATTCTACAGAATGTGGGAGAAGATTAAAAGGTTTTGGAAGAAAGTGATAATGCTAAATTGATATTTAAAAAAAAAGATGAATGGGAACATAATGTATAAGCTAGAAGGGTAGTTGGTGAGACAAAGAAAGGGAGATCATTTGGGAAGCTGTCGTAAAATTTGGAACACTAGTCATAATGGCCTAAACTAGGATGGGAGCTAGACAGGAGTGGACCAGTGTAAGAGTAACCCTAAAGTGGTTGACACTCTAGGTGTTAGCAAGTAATTGGATATGGCAGACAAGGGAGAATTATCAAAATGAATGGATTTTCAACTTGAGTAAATGGGAGGGTACAATAGAAATTCAGAAACTAAAAAGAATTGTTAAGAGGGGGAAATTGTCATGTTAAATTTCAATTGTGAGTTGAAACCGGGTTTTTTCTAGCTTGGGGAAAACTAGAGAGTCAAAAGCCAAGAAGAAGTACCTACCGTTTCTCAGGCACCTACTATGTGTCAGGTGCTCTGGTTCTATTATCTCCTTTATCCCTCACCCCAAGTTTGCAAGATATTATTAGCTATAATTTATGGATGAGGATGAAGTCTCAGAGAGGCTAGATGTATTGTTATTGACTAGGAGATAGACATGAAACAGAGGGACCAAGTCTGCTCAACTCGGTGAATCATCCAAGAACATTACAATGAAGGCAGAGTTAGATGAAATCTCCAAGTATAGAAAGATTAACAAGGAAGACGGCGAGCAAATCATTGGGAAACAATTTTTTTCAAGGCAAAAGGAATAACAAGTAAGGTCAGAAAAGATTTTCATAGAGAATAGGAGGTGAACTAATATTACATATTACAAGTCTTCACTGGAAAAAACTCTGTTCCTTAGACAATCTGGCTTGAATTCTAACACAGACAAATTGCTTAGTTTCCCTGAGACTATTTCCTTTCTTACATTGTGAGAATAATATTCCTCCCTCTGAAGGTTTTTATGGAGAATGAGATGAGAATCTGAATGTGAATGTGTCTGGCGTAGATTCTGGTACACAAGGTACTCACTGAAGGTTTGCTAAAAGAATAAGGTACAGTGACAAGACAGTCTGTGCAAACCCCACAGTGTGTTCTAGAATGTTCTGATTTTAAAAATTGCTTATACCTTTTCATTTTCTTTTGTTTCTTTTTCTTCAAAATTGAATAGTAGCTCATATTTCTGATTAAGGATGTCAGTCAATTGCACTTAGTACCTAAAGATCTCACGGCATTATAGTCTCAGAACAATAAACATTTTCAAAAAGTTAACTTTAAACTGTAAAGTACTGTCACAGATGAATGAACAAAATTGAGACAAAATATCTATTTTCTACTCTCTCCCTTGTAGTTGTGACTGGAGATAATGATAATTAAGATAGGCATTGACTGGCAGCATCTTCAGAAATGTTAAAATTGTATTCAAGATACCCTCTGCATCACAGGAATCAGGCATAGAGTTAAGGTAAAATCAAACACAGCAAGATAATAGTAATCTATTCTGACCAAAACCCTCATTTTTTGCTTCTAGGATAATGTAAATATAGATATTAGAAACTTATCAAAGTCAAGTTAAAAGAGTTACAAAACGCATTCTTGGATTCTCCAAAAAGGGTTATGTACAATCTACCTGGTAAACAAGAAAACAGATCATTGAAGTGTAGGAGGAAAAAAATTATTTTCATGTTTTTAAAAAATTAGTGCCCTAATATTCTAGTATGGATTGATATAAATGCTCAGCCTTTATCATAGCTGGTCACTACGGGACATATTTTGAGAAGAGTGGTAATTTTACAGCATGTAGGAAGATAACAGGGTACCCCACTAGTTGGTTTTATTTGCATGTTCACTTTAAGCATATTGTAACACTGAAGTACTTGCAAGCCAGTTAAACAATTCATAGATTGTGTTATTATTACGTTATCTAGTTTTAACATAACTGTCACAAAACGAGTAAGTGGCTAAAAAAATACTCTTTACAAGAAACTATTCCTTAAAATATAAAAACAGTGAATTATAAGGTTTTGTTTTCAATAACCTTCTAATTATATCTTTGCAGTTCCAGTGAAGTGTTATATTGTTTTAGTCAAATCCAAACTCTAGTACCTAGATCACACTGTTTTTCTCTTAAACTTCCATAGTTCTTTCTTGATCAGGATAGCATGAATACTACATGCAAAAAGTAAACTCATTGTATTTCTGTTGGGCACAGTATATATCTTACAGAATAATTTGATATTGAAGAATAAATTCATTTATGTATTTAACCAATGAACACATACCTCTGCCGAGCTTGAAGCTTCATTTACACAGTATTCCACAATTTAAGCAGACCTAGAAAGTCTATGAAATTTCTTTCTCTAAACATATTCAAGAGAAAAGTAAATCATTAAAGAGATTTTTTAACTCAATTTGATTTTATATAATTTTGCTTGAGTACTGTCACAACTCTAACTCATACGCAGTATTAAATATTTATTAAACATACCTCAATTAACATCATTACGCTACCATACACAGTGAAAAGGATTCTGCATTTGTTGCTAGGCTGACCTTGATGTAAGTAAAAGGGAAATTATCTCAGTGGAGCTGAGCTATTCATATGAGCCCTCTAAACAGGCATCTAATGGTCAGAGACAGAGGAAGTTTAAGAAACTCAAAATGTGAAAGGAATTCTGTTGGTCTGAAAGAAGCAAACTGCCATTTTGTTGAGGGCCACTTAGTAAGGAATGGCATGGGAAAGAGCTGGGTGCTTACTGAGCACAGCCAACAAGAAAACAGGAACATCAGAATGAGTCTCAGGACAGTAGTCCTGGTTGATATCTTGATTTCAGAAAGTGTAATTATAAGCAGAGAACATAATTGGTCTGTGCCCAGAATTGTGAGCAAATAAATAGGCATTAAGATGTTAAATTTTCTAATTTGCTATGCAGCAATTAAAAATATATATGCAAATATGCACACATGTATATATACACACACAAATAGAGATAAAGAGGTATGGAAAAGGAGCATGAAATGGGAATTGAGAGGATAAAAACTAGTGAGAAAAGCCAATTATGAAGCTTTCATATTATATATTCCAGTGGTCTCCAAATTGGGATGGTTTCAAGATAATCCTGTAGGTATCTAAGGAAAATATTAAAACTTCTAGTTGCATATTTCTTTTTACCTTATTTCTTACCTTTTGGGGGTATACTTAAAAACATACACAAGGTTACCATATGTAGATATTACATAAATGTTCATATATTTAGAGAAGCTGGTTAAATAGTTTAGAAAACGTTGTTCTAATCAATGCATCAGAAGACTCTTGTCCCTTGATGTTTGTCCTACCTCATTTTATTCCTCTCATTTGTTCTATAAGGCTTAGATCTATATAAAATTCTCCAATTATTTAGTGTCTCTTGTGGCACCTTGTAATCTCATGGACAGTCTTTCTAATTGCTTCTGGGAGCCCTAGAAAGTTAATTTTATTGACTAAAGCAATGTTTAAGAATTACTATTTGGGGCACTTGTTAAAACAATGTCAGATTTCTTCTCTGCCTATCAAATTTAGTAATTGTAGGGTGCCCTGGTAATCTGTTTACAAACAATGTCTATATCACTCTTGTTTTCATGAAAATTGGGAAACTAGACATTCAAGATTATACATCAAGCTAGCATAAGGAAAGTAGAAAGCACGTCTCCGGGAGAAACAACTGCAATTCCATCAAATAGAATGGGAACCATGAAATGTCAATTCACATGTACATGAGGCGTTACAGAACATCAAGTTAGGAAATACTAGAATTTATCTATTATCAAAATTTATATCCTTCAGATTTCTGAAATGCTAGACAGAGATATTTCCTGAGACATATTGTTGCAAGTATGTGACCTGGTATACAATCTCTGACCCACATGTTTTTGTTCACCAAATTTATTGTTGAACACTCAAAACATCAAATTATGGCAGACAGGTTAAAAAGAAAGCACCAAAAATTGCTACACATTAATACCTGAGCAGAGACTGAAGGCAAATATTCATCTATTAAACCTTACACCATAATATTGAAACACAGATAAAAACACAACACTCGACAGAGTACAATAAACAGCACTTTTTTTGTGAATTACAACCAGTTAAATGCAATGTTAATTACCCCATACAAAAAAAATGCAAAAAAATTTACACATAAATGTATTTAATACACCATACATTGTACAAATTCTGGAGGAGAACATGCATACTTAAATGGAAAGATATGCAAGGTGACAATTATTTTTCAGAATATAATATTAGACAAGTTCCTTTGCACTGTTAAGTACTGTTACTATGCACTGTATTTTTCAGATGAGAACAAAATTATCAATTTGCAAATAAATGATTACTGAGTCTATCTCAGAATAAGACATAGCTTTTCCTCTACAAACTTATAACCATAATACACAAACTAATGCAGGTTAATAGCTATGTATTTTAATTTATAACATAACCTTATCCAAACTACTTCCATCTCAATTTGACCATGCTTAAGGAAAAACATGTTTTCTTTCTACACATTTTTAGAGAAACCTATATTTTGGGGGGAGAGGTAGTGGAGGTGAAATGGGAAGAGAGAAATGTGTTGAGTTTGTGTTCAAAGTTGAAACTGAAAAATATACAACAAATTCTGAATACACATCTTTTAGAAGAGACCTGGATTGTCACATAAATGGAATAATTTGCTTTAATAGAAATTATATCTGCTCTTTGAAATAATCACAGTAAAAGCCACAAATCTTTACATTAAACAAATTAGAGCCAGTTCTCCCTTAATAGCTTAAAAATAGAAAGAAAAAAGGGAGGGAAATAAGGTTTAAAAATATACTACATGAATCTGATTTTACTTTAATTACTGAAAATCATTGTTGGGTAATCTGACTTTGTTTGATATATAAATACACAAGCTTCAATATAGTTCTTAGGGAAAAAGTACAGGTCTTAAGGAATAGTTCATATCTTTGACAAAGTACTCATTAAAAGGACAAGTACATTTGAAGAGAAGTTTTCCCATGTGTAATAAGGTCAGAACGTAAGTACCACCACCTTCTCCTAAAATAAATTTCAGAAAATGTAAGTCAATTTAATTTGAAATGAGAACTCTGGAAATTAAAAGAAGTCTCTAGAGCAATAGTTCCAAAAACACTAAGGGGAATGAATACTGGTCAACTTTTATTTTAGAACTTTACTTCAAAGAAAAAGATTTAGAGCCAAATTGAGAAGACCACCCATTATCAAATATAATAGGTACAAAATTGCAGGGCATTCCTTCATCATTTTAAGGCACAATCTATTTTATCCCAAACGACTATAAGTTCAAGGTCACAGTGATAACACACACTCAATTTTGGTCTGGTTTCTCATCGGTACATTGCTACATTTATAGTTAGTCATAAGTTTAAGAAACTGTAAAACAATCACTTCAAAATAACTTTTAAGTCATTTTTATATTTCTTAAAATGTAAATATACAATTTTCTAATTTATATACAGTAAAAATTGGAGTTTTTTTCCTCTTTATAGTAGAGAATAAGGTTATCTCTACCAAAATACCAACAAATATATATTTGATTATATACAAAGCATGGTTGTGTTAAATACAGGCATCTCCTACTACTTAGGATGAAATCATTCAACACAAAGGACAAACTCATTCCCAAATACAATGTCCACTGAAATTTTAGGGTTATACATCATCTTTTCACTAATTTCATCCAAAGTCCCCATCAGATAGTTAGATAAAGTATCACTAAATCAAGGCGAAAAATTTTAGTATTTGGCTTTCTGTTACCTCTTAACTTTCAAGGGTACTTATGCAAACTACATCAATTATCGGGCACAGAAACAGTAAGTCACATTAAATGATGAAAACGGCTATAATATGAGGGACTGAAATTCCCTTTGAGAATTTCTAAAAAGGAGAAATTAAAGAATCTCAATCATAAAACATATGCTTTTGATAATATTTACTTATGTGTACTACTTTAGGTTCTAGTGGATAATTTTCTTCTATGAGACATGTCACTATATAAAGGGACTGGATGGAAATATGTAAACAAAAGAAATTCCACAATAAACTTCCTATTACATAAATGAGAGACACCCGTACTAAAAATGATCTGTGCAAAAAATACTTAAGGTTTTACATCACAAAACAAATCTGAAGGAAGGTAACTTCAATTAATTACTTATTATTGCTGGGTTTACCCAATAAAATAAGAGAACATTTTCCACAAATCAGAAAAAATAGAATATACTATGGTATAAGTCTTAAATATTTTCAAACAAAAATTAAGGTATGGAATATAAGTTTTGATCACTTACAAATTTAATATACATCCTAGATGAAAAACACTGAAAAGATTAGTTTTGCTTTAATCCCAATATACTAGAAAAGTTCATTGGCACAAATATCAAGAGGTATTTTATAGTTTTGTTTAGCTTTGGTGGCAAAGTGTATTTTGCTAACCATATAAATACAGTTAATTTTCCAATGTAGAATTTTATGTTAAAAAGGAATTTAAACATATTTTCTCTGAAAAAAGGGATGTAAGAAGTTCAATTAAAATTCAAAACAAGTATAACATGAAATACAAAACATTCCTATTATTTAGGCTTTTGAACTGTTAATAGTTCTATGGTTTGTCTATAAATCTTTTGTTAGGAACATTACTACTAAATCATATTAAAAACCAAAATAACACTAAAAGAATAGCATATGAACTTTACAAAAATGGCTACTTTTAGACTGCTTACCAAGACTAGTATCCAAATATGCAAACAAATGTTTAACACTAATCAAAATACACCAAAGATACAGTTTTCATAAGTGTTCAAAGTTACAATGTACAGAATGAACACAGAATAATTCTGACACATAAATATATATATATATATATAAATATCCTATACAAAGTCATCAGAAATTAACTGGTTACATGATATTTCAAAACAGTCATTTTTGGCAATATAATGCGCCAAACACTTCAAGAAAGTACTGTACTTGATTTAAAAATTTTCAACCATTAGACAATGTAATCAACATGTAGCTTAGACTATCATCTAACCTTGAAAAACATATGCTATGAATTAAGGTGCACTGTTACATTTATACCATTAATGGAAAAAATCAGTCTACTTTCAAATTTTATTCCATGCTGAAAACTAAGATATTGATATATAAAACTCAGTCTTCTGTACTCATAATTTATCAAAAATGTAAAATATTGAGCATTTACAAGTACATATTCAGATTTAGATTACTGAGCTGTCTTTTCTTTCCTATCATCCTTATTGTACTCACCACCACAATCAGGCTTAGCACATTTATTACCCCAAGAAGAAACCCCATACGCCTTAGTCATTTCTCCCATCTACCCCTAACACACACACACACCACCACTACCACCACCACCATCCTCTCTGCCCCTACTAATCTGTTTTCTGTCTCTATGGATTTGCCTGTTTTATACACAATATAAATGAGATAATTCAGTATGTGGTTCTTGGTGACTAGGTTCTTTAATTTAGCATGTTGTCAAGGCTTTTCTGTGTTATAGCATGTAAGAGCTTTTAAACAAAACCACATTGTAAACAATAATCTCTCTCCATCTCCCTTGAGATGTCTGTCTCTCAAGCAAATGATTAAACTCTGTATTCTTTCATGGAGGAAAAAAATAAGTAAAGATACTAGTACCCTCACAGAATTTCTATTTCCTTAGGCTGTTAAAACTTTGTGAAAGGATGCATGAGTAACATGTATAAGTAAACAATTTTATAGAATTTAACATGTTGTTCTTTGTTCAAAAAGATTGGGACAAAATTTCAGCTCCAATCATCTTACTACTTTGTAAAAGTCTCTTCTACATTTGCCTATGTATTAAGGAAGTTTCCTCTCAGAGTCTAATTTCATAATACAAAGATAATTTTGTTGCTTCCTTGGTCCTGGGGAACTTTAAGCTCTCCAAGTTGACTTTCTCCCAAAACTTCACAAGGTATCTTGTTTCCTATGGCATATAAATTCATAAATCTAAAACACCGAGAAAACTAAAGTGATCATGGAAAATAATCAAATGCCTCATTGTAGAAGATCCCAACATATTTCACTTTAGCCAAATGATTTTAGTAACAAGCTGCTATAATAAAATAGCAAACATAGCACTCTGGAGTTTTGCACTATACCTCATACTAAGGCAAGATATCACACTAATTTAGACCTAATGCCTAAGATGAAAATAAAGGTCAGCAGAATTATCTGAGGATTGAGGAAACTAAAAATTTAATTTTATTTCCTTTTATTTTCATTGTCCACATTCTGTAAGAGGTACTAATGAGCAGAGAGGTGAAATGAATAAACTATACTATGAGTGAAAGTCTTGAAGAGTTAAAAAAGCATATGAACAAATCAGATAATCTGCCTTATATAAGATTGTGGGGTGGGGTGGGGGAGTGGAAAAGTGTTCCTTCCACATGAGTGATAGGATAACCAATAACATTTATGAGGCCTACTATAGTCCTTTACTTCTTTCTCCTTACTGTATAATCATGTAGGTAACATAGTATATATAGTTCAATCAAGAAAAAGTATTCCATTATATACATCTGAATTTATCTGACAAAAACATGAAAAAAAAAAACACCAAGCAAAATATGATTAATATATATTGAGGAGACTGAAAATAAGGGTTAACCAGGCACAGTGTTTTTTTTTTAGAACTACTGTTTTAGATATTTTCACTCTGGTGACAACCAAGGAACAAGTTGGAAACTTATTTAATTTCTGGTGTGAAAAAGACCCAGAAAATAATTTCCATTATCAGCTCCAAATTTTAATAGTAACTCCATAGGAAGCTTTAAAAACACTGAAAGTATTCAGTATTTTCCTGTCCAATCTATATTTGATCTAATTATCAACAATGGGTTTCCAAAAGAATTTGCATTAAGTTTAAAACTTACTCAAAAGTCAACAAATACAAAAATGTTTTAATAGTAAAGCTCAGAAGTTTGCTGAATTAGATAATCCCTAAGTGGCAAAAAGCAGTGTAAGTTTTAGTAACATTGCTAATAAATCTATGCTGGATTATAAGTATTTCAGAAACAATGTATAACTTAAAGACAAAAGGACAATTTCTCAAGTCATGCAAACATCTTCAGATGAACCTAACTTCCTATCTCTGGTAGTGATAAGGGTTTAAAGTGCGTCAATACTTGATGAAGACCCTGTCAAAATGTATGCACAAAAGATTGCATTTATTTGCATATAATGGCTAAAGACCCAATTACTGATATTTATAAAATGTTTAATAAGTATAATTTTATAGTCTTGAAGTGAAATAATTTGTTGGAATAAGACTTTAGGTCTTGGCAACTACATACACATTAAAATATTTCAGTGTGAGTATGTGTACCTAGTCTGCTGCTTTTAATAAATTATGCATAAAGTTTATAATATATATTAATATAGCTGAAATTATATAATCAATAAAATAACTCTATTTTTATTTTAAAAACACAAGAAAAAAATTAAAAGCTAAATGTACTACTCACAGATGAGAAATTTAAAAGTTTTATTTTATTCATGAGCAGTACCAAGTGAACAAGGAGACTGGAGATCGCATAAATACGATTATCAATTGGTGTCAATAGAAGATCTAAATTAATGAATTTTCTAAAGTTCTTTTTGTATACGAACCTACGTTAAATTCAGAAATAGTTAATGGACACATTTAATCTATAACTTGAAAGGTAACTATAATACTGATGGGGGTAAAAATTACATTTGAGAGTGCACCTTAAAAGTCACCATCAGACACTCAATTTTTATATGTAAGATAATGAACATTAACTAGACTGACTGTGATCACTTTGCAATGAATTGTTATGTTGCACACCTGAAATCAGTACATGTCAATTATGGCAAAAAATAATCATCCTGAATAAAAAAGGTACCATGTGTATAAAAGTTGCTTATGAGTCTATGTATAGCTAAACATAGGCAGATGTGTCCTTATTTAAATATGAATGTGGTATGCCACGGGAAAAGTGCGTAATATAGTAACCTCTCTTCCAGACACTGAACATACAAGTATTTTACCCCTTTTGCTTCTTCTCTCAAACAAGTGCTTGATATATCTGCCATGTCTACTATGAGGTTATAATACTTCCCTCTAATGCTCTCAGTAAGTGAAAATATGAATATTGAATAATAGGCATGAAGTTGGGAAAGACAACAATGAAATCAAACAAACTTACAACCCTCAGAGGTAATAATAATAGCAAGACTCTTCAACTGACAGTAGCAAGGTCCTGAGGAACAACGAGAAGTGGGGTAACCCTTCCTAGGCAGTAAAGTGGGGGTAACCCTCTATATAGGCAGTAACAGCTGAGAGATTGAAATGGAATCCTGATGCAAAGACATCAGGACATCTGGTCCTCTAGGACATCTCTGGGTAGTAACAAGGTTACAAGCAAGTTCACCACAACTGTAAATTACTGGACTTAATAAGGACTTTACTTGAGAGGTTTTGGGGGTTCACAACACACTCGTTTAAAGGAAGGGCTCTATGAGCTAGGTATACTTCAGTCAGAGTTCACTCTCTGAAGGCAAAGATATCCTTGCTCTATTAACTAGTTCCTACTCTTTTGTAGTAGAAAGTGAGCTGAAATTTAAAATGAAATAGAAATATTACTCTCGATCTGTGAAATAGCAATCACCTTGATTAAAAATTAAGATTCCACTGTTAAACCTAGTGGTTAAGCTTCAAATTTATTCAGGAATACTATTTATTTTTATGCTATTAATGGGATAATGGTTTCTCTACCATTAATTCATTAATAGGATAATTTCATATGTTAAATGTGGTACTGCACTTACTCATGATGCTTTTTATCCTCACAATGGCCAAAAATTAAGCAAACTTAGAGTTTTTTTCTGACCATTGGAGTTTAGTTATTTTAATGATCCATCAAGACTTGAGGCACTTTTGGCAACCATGGGTCAATGAATTAAATAAAATGGCATAGAGACTGAACAACTGAACTACTTCACTGTCATTAAATATCTGAGAATTTTTTTTAATTTAATAATATATCTTAGTAGTCTTCTGATAGTAACCAAAAATACAAAATAAGATTCCCATATGAAAGGTAACAAATTTCATTAGGTTTTGAATTTGAAAGATGTTTTTATCCATCAGTCTTGCATTGGTTACCAGGAAAAGATATTTTCTTATAATTAAAAGTTATATTTTCATAGATATAAAAAAAAAAAAAACCTAAGACTTACTTTGTTCACTGTGGCTGCCAAAACTGACCAAAGATTTTAGGTAGCTATTTCATTTTGAGGAATAAATAGTTGTGGGTTTCATCATTCCTTTAGGACTTCTCAATATGTATACAGTAGCAAATGCAAAGTTACCCACTTTTCAGAGGAAAGTTTGATAAAATGATCAGAATGCTTGAGGTGAGACTACAAACAATGTTACATTCACTTGAGTGTTTAGGACAAGACCCCCACTATACACGAGTAGACTAGGTGATATGCAGAGGAGTTCTCAATGATAGCGGCCACCAAAAACTTTTCTAATTTTTCAAAAGTAACTAGTACACAGATGCCTTACCACAAAACAAAACCATGCTTCAACTGTTTCCTCAAGCATTACAAAACTAATTTCATATATTCAATATTGTAAAAATAGATGTGTCTTCTCGAAAGGACCGGCTTGTCCACACTGATGGATCTGTGCGTTTGCTCTCAACTCTAGTCTTAAGGCATGTAACATCTTTATCTTCCTTAAATCCAATTTACATAAAGTTGCATAGTGCATGGAGTAAAAGGGGGATAAAGATAAAACACGGAACCCGGTATAAGTGTGCTGACCCAAAAGCAATCACACCAACAGCCAGAGGAAGTGGAAATTGTGACGCAGTCTTCAACAATTTACTGTGAAGAGACAGAGAAAGACACATTATGTAAATTACACTGGAAGCAAAAACGGAATGTCAATCTTAAGTATAGTTTTGAGAAAGTGGTTTCAGATGAAATAAATTTTCATATAATGAATTTAACTGTCCATAATATTTACAAAGGTCAATACAAGTCCTATTTTAGCTAGAATAGAGAAAAATATTTCGATAATAACTATTTGTGTTTAGTCTTTTAAATTTTAACAACGAAAAATACTAGTTGGATTTTTATTCAATAATTCTATCTCCTGAAATTTATCTGAACAAAGCTAATTAATACATTAGACAACCTAGTCCATGGTTTCACTTCCTGCAATTTCAGTTACCCATGGTCAACTGAGGTCCAAAAGTATTAAACACAGTAAGATATTTTAAGAGAGAGAGATACCACATTTCTATAGAGTACATTTCGTAAGTATTCTATTTGGTTATTATTGTTGTTAATTTTTTACTGTACCCATTTATAAATGAGACTTTATCATAAGTATATATAGGAAAAAAAAAACAGTGTAATACAGGATTTGGAATTATTCTTAATTTCAGGTATCCACTAGGGGTCTTGGAACATAGCTTCTGTGGGATAAGGGGTGAAATTTTCAGTTGATTTTTACCAGAAATCAAGTGAAAAGATTCCATGAGTAAACAGTTGGTGAATGAAAAGCCAAGTTATATTATGAGTTTTAAACATGTACATAAGTAGACTTATATACCATCATCCAGCTTCAAAAGTCATGAAGTCATGACTAACTTACTTCACCCTATATTCCTTTTTATTCATCTGCATTCTTGCCTTTGGGAAGCAAATTTTAGACATCACATCTTTAAAAAGTTAACTTTTTAAAGAAAAAAAGACTATTATAGCTTAACAAGTAAAATCCATAATCAAGAAAGCAAGCATAATACGCTAACATAAACTGTACTTAGATATGAATCATAATTAGTATTATGGCCTTACTTTTAGAATAGTTTACATAATTAGGAATAAAGAACATGCTTAGACATAAGAGATAAAGTGATAATAGACTAGGAACAGGTATGAAAAAATCGAAGATTAAATACTATACCTTGAGAGGGGGCGGAGCAACATGGCGGCGAGGAGACGCTGCGAGTAAGATCTCCCATTAAAAAAAGTTAATAGGGAGGAAAAGCGGCAGGTCCCAGTGAGAACTGGGACACGGAAGATAAACGGACGACTCCAGCAAACTGCCCGAAGAAGAAAGTTGCCATAAAAGAGGACGAGAAGGGAGGGAAGCGCAGAACCCTGCTCCCCTCCCCCGCCCACAAAGTCGGCACTCTCCGACCGGCAGAGAGGAGGAAACAACAAACCAAAACGGCCAACAAGAAAAACGGACACAGCAAGCGGGACTGTGAGTGGAAAGGAACTATTGCAGCCACCACACCCCGTGAACGGGAGCTGAGGCGAACCCTGCAGGATCCGCCGCGGAGGTGAGCTCCAGGCGCCATTAAAGAGAGCCCCGCCCCCCAGGAGGAGACCAGCACCAGCACACAGCCCCGGCCGCCCGGTAAGCTTGCGCGGAAAGTGGCGCGGATCCAGACCGGATCGCAGCTGCCCAGGTCCCCGCGCCTGCGACCTAGGCTTGCGGGGAGACGGCGGAGGCCCTCCCTGAGTGAGCAGGAACAAGGCGCCCAGGCAGGGGAGCGGGATTCAAAAGGCGCCATTCCCGCGCCACTGATCTGGGCTACAGCCCGCGTCCTGGAACTGAGGGCTTTGGAACTGAGACCCGGGGCACGAAATTAGGGGCGTGGGTTCCCCACGACGGTGGGGCACAAGGCAGACACAGCACCCCAAAGCCGTTGAGGTGTACCCTACCATCCCCGCTCTGCTCTCTGTCCCACGGGGTGGAAAATCAGCTCCCCAAGGGCTCTAGGAGAGATCTCTGGCGCCACCTAGCGACTTGACCCCAGCACAGGCTACTGAAGGAGCTAGTGGCCAGCTGGGGAGTTAGCCCACACCTGGCTCCTTCCGAACAAGTAGTCTGAGCCCACAGGGAGAGCGAGCACCCACAGCCGGGGCAGACCAGGCGCGCAGAAGAGTGTGCCTGAGACCAGACGCGCAGGGAGTGTGTCCCACATCACCATTTTAGAACAGGGACATTTCTTCAGTAAAGACTACCTGCCGAAGGCTTCCTCAGGAGCCAGAGGTGAGCGGGGGAAGTTCGCCCACGCCAGACCCCCTCTGGCCTGCAGTCCAAGCCCAGAGGGGAGCAGGAACCCACCGCCGGGGCAGACCAGGCGCACAGGGGAGTGTGTCCCCACATCGGCATTTTAGAACAGGGACCTTTCTCCATTAAAGGCTGCTTGAAACTGACAGATGACTCCTGGAAGAACCAGAGGGGAACAGAGAAGCCCACCCAAGATGCCGGCCAGTCCCAACAACACAGTGTCCCAACGCATACGGCAAATTAGAAAACAGACAGTAGGGAGGAGAAGAACCACACGCAACCTAGCAACTCTCCAGAGAAAAAGCACACCACAAAAAGAAAGCCAGCCCCCAGATTGCAAAGACAATAACTTGGAAGAATTTCTGAGCCTTCCAGAAAGAGAATTTAAAATTGCCGTGATTAAAAAACTGACAGAAGTCATAAAGGAAAACAATGATAAGGGAAAAATAATCAACGATCAGAAGAATGCAATTGAGTCCCTAGAGAGGGAAAACAATGGTCAGAAGAAAGAAATTGAGTCCCTAAAGAGGGAAGTAAAAGAAATGCAGGAGATCAAAGAATTAATGGAAGAACTAAAGAATTCTGGGAAAAGCAATGAAAGCAGAATAGATGAAATGGAAGAACGAATAAGTAATCTTGAAGACACAGAAATAAAAAGAACCAAAACAGAAAAGGAAAGAGAAGTACGAAGGAAAAAGAACGAAGAAAGACTTCGGGAACTATCTGACTCCATGAGGAAAGGAAATATAAGAGTTATAGGAATACCAGAAGGAGAGGAGAGAGATGTAGGAACAGAGAAAATATTCAAAGAGATAATTGAAGAGAACTTCCCAAATGTGAAGAAGGAGCTGAAAATTGATATACAAGAAGCAAGAAGAACACCAAACTTCCACGACGAAAGGAAAAATACAGCAAGACACATAATAGTAAAGCTCCCAAGAATCCAGGACAAGGAAAAAATAATGAAGCTGGCAAGAGGGAAGGAACAGATAACATTCAAAGGAAAACCAATCAGGCTGACATCAGACTTCTCCGAAGAAACACTACGGGCAAGGAGAGAGTGGAGGGACATAGTCAACAGACTCCAAGAAAACAGATGCCAACCAAGAATACTCTATCCCGCAAAGCTCTCCTTCCTCTTTGAAGAAAGAATATGGACCTTCCCAGACAAACAGAAACTCCGGAATTTCATTGCAACTAAACCCCCACTCCAAAAAATACTACAAGGAGTCCTAAAGCCAGAACCTCAGAGGGACGAATAACAATGAAAGAAGGCCAAAAAAAAAAAAGTTATTAAAAGAATAAATAAATAAAATCAAAGGAAAGACAAACACAATGGCAAATACAGATGTTAACATATCAATATTAACTCTAAATGTAAATGGACTAAACTCTTCAATAAAAAGACACAGAGTGGCAGCCTGGATTAAGAAACAAAACCCAACCTTTTGCTGTCTCCAGGAAACACATTTAGCTACAAAAGATAAAAATAGGCTCAAAGTTAAAGGATGGAAAACAATCCTACAAGCAAATGGACCAAAAAAGAAAGCAGGAACAGCTATACTTATATCAGATAAAACAGATTTCAAACTCAAAAAGATAAAAAGAGACCCCAATGGTCACTACATTATGATCAAGGGGACAATACTTCAAGAAGAAATAACACTCATTAACATATACTCACCAAACGAAGGAGCACCAAAATATATCAGACAACTGTTGTCCTCTCTGAAAACAGACATCAGAGAAAACACATACGTAGTGGGAGACTTCAACACACCACTATCAACAATGGATAGATCAACAAGACAAAAAATAAGTAAAGAAACCAAAGCTCTAAATAAGGACCTAGAGCAATTAGGCTTAACAGACATCTATAGAACACTAAACCCCCAAAAAACGGAGTACACATTTTTCTCAAGCGCACACGGATCATTCTCCAGGATCGATCACATACTGGGGCACAAGACAAACATCAACAGATACACCAAGATTGAAATCATATCAACCATCTTTTCTGACCATGAAGGCATCAAACTAGAAATAAACCATAAAAAGAAGGCAAGGAACTTTCCTACCTCATGGAGATTAAAAACCACACTACTGGAAGACCATTGGACTAATGAGGAGATCAAAGAAGAAATTAAAAAATTTTTTGAATTGAACGACAAGGAGGACACTAATATCCTAAATGTATGGGATGCAGCAAAAGCAGTAATAAGAGGAAAATATATAGCAATAGAAGCTCACATCAAGAAACAAGAAAGAACGCAAAGAAACAACCTCATCTCGAAGCTCAAAGATCTAGAAAAAGAACAACAAAAAAACCCCAAAACCAGTAGAAGAAAAGAAATAATAAAAACCAAAGCAGAAATAAATGAAATTGAAACTAAAAAAACAATCCAAAAGATCAATGAAACCAAGAGCTGGTTTTTTGAAAAAATCAATAAAATAGACAAACCCCTAGCCAGGCTCACAAAGGAAAAAAGGGAGAAAGCACAAATAAATAGGATCATCAATGAAAGAGGAGAAATCACAACGGACACAGCAGAAATCAAAAGAATAATCAGTAACTACTATGAACAGTTATATGGAAACAAGTTTAACAATCTAGAGGAGATGGACAAATTCCTACAACTCTACAATCACCCAAAGCTAGATAAAGAAGAAATAGAACACCTAAACAGACCAATTACAATTAGCGAAATTGAAATGGTAATAAAAAACCTCCCCAAAAACAAAAGCCCAGGACCTGATGGATTTACAAATGAATTCTACCAAACATTCAGAGACGAATTAGTGCCTATCCTTCACAAACTCTTCCAAAAAATTGAGAAGGAAGGGACAATACCAAACACGTTTTATGAAGCCAACATTACACTAATACCAAAACCGAACAAGGACAACACAAAAAAGGAAAACTACAGGCCAATCTCCCTAATGAACACTGATGCAAAAATCCTCAATAAAATTTTAGCTATCAGAATCCAACAATGTATCCATAAGATAATTCACCACGACCAAGTTGGATTCATTCCAGGGGCACAAGGATGGTTTAACATCCGAAAATCAATCAACGTTATCCAACACATCAACAAAAAGAAATATAAAAACCATATGATAATATCAATAGATGCTGAGAAAGCTTTTGACAAAGTGCAACACCCATTCATGATAAAAGCCCTTGAAATTCTGGGGATACAAGGAACATACCTCAACATCATAAAGGCCATCTATGACAAGCCAACAGCCAGTATCATTCTCAATGGTGAACAGCTGAAAGCAATTCCATTAAGATCTGGAACAAGACAAGGATGTCCACTCTCACCATTGCTTTTCAATATAATACTGGAAGTCCTAGCCAGGGCAATAAGACAAGAGAAAGACATCCAAGGAATCCAAATAGGAAAAGAAGAAGTCAAACTATCACTATTTGCAGACGATATGATATTATACATAGAGAACCCCAAAAACTCCACAGAAAAGCTAATTCAACTCATCAATCAGTTCAGTAAAGTGGCAGGATACAAAATCAACACGCAAAAGTCAGTAGCCTTCCTATACACAAACAATAAATCTGAAGAAGAAGAAATCAAAAAGACCATCCCTTTTGTTATTGAAACAAAAAAAATCAAATATTTGGGAATAAATCTAACAAAAGAGGTAAAGGACCTATACAAAGAAAACTATAAAACACTGTTAAAAGAAATAGAAGAAGACACAAAGAAATGGAGAGACATCCCCTGCTCATGGATTGGAAGAATAAACATTATTAAAATGGCCATCCTACCAAAAGCAATATACAGATTCAATGCTATTCCAATCAAAATTTCAATGTCATTCTTCAAAGAAATAGAACAATTATTGATGAAATTCATATGGAATCACCAAAAACCCCGAATAGCCAAAGCTCTCCTGAAAAAAAAAGAAGGGAATGGAGGCATCAGACTCCCAGACTTCAAACTATACTACAAAGCCATAATCATCAAAACTGCATGGTATTGGAACAAGAACAGACATACAGACCAATGGAATCGAATAGAAAATCCAGAAATAAACCCACAGATTTATGGTCAACTAATCTTTGACAAAGGAGCAAAGAATATGCATTGGAGCAAAGAAAGTTTGTTCAATAAATGGTGCTGGGAAAACTGGGTCGCTACATGCAAAAGAATGAAGCTTGACCACCACCTCACACCATACACAAAAATCAACTCAAAATGGATTAAAGAACTAGACATAAGACCTGAAACCATAAAATATATAGAAGGAAATATAGGCGAAACACTACGTGATTTGCACATCAAAGACATCTTTACAGACACATCACCCAAAGCAGTGATAGTGAAGGCAAAGATAAACAGCTGGGACTACATCAAATTAAAGAGCTTCTGCACAGCAAAAGAGACAATAACAAAAACAAAGAGAAACCCCACCAACTGGGAGAACATTTTTGCACCCAACACTAATGATAAAGGACTGATCACAAAAATCTGCAAAGAGCTGATGAGACTCAACAACAACAAAGAAAATAATCCAGTCAAAAAATGGGCAGAAGAGCTTAAAAGAAACTTCTCTGAAGAGGAAATGCAAATGGCCAACAGGCATATGAAAAAATGTTCAACATCACTTGTCATCAGGGAAATGCAAATCAAAACTACCATGAGATACCATCTTACACCAGTGAGAATGGCACATATTAAAAAAACTAGCAACAACAAATGTTGGCGAGGGTGTGGAGAAAAAGGAACTCTTCTGCACTGTTGGTGGGAGTGCAAACTGGTCCAACCACTGTGGAAAGCTGTATGGAGATTTCTGGACCTACTAAACATAGAGCTTCCATATGATCCAGCAATTCCACTCCTAGGTATTTACCCAAAGGACACAGAAACATCAATTCCAAAGAACACCTGCACCCCTATGTTTATAGCAGCACTATTTACAATAGCTAAGCTTTGGAAACAACCCAAATGCCCAAAAATAGATGACTGGATCAAGAAGATGTGGTACATATATACCATGGAATATTACTCAGCATTCAAAAAAGATAAACACATGCAATTTGCAGCAACATGGATGGCGCTGGAAGGGATCATGCTCAGCGAAATAAGCCAAAAAGAAAAAGAAAAATACCGGATGGTCTCACTCATAGCAGGAATCTAGAAAACTTAAATAAGGGACCAGGAAAATGAATAACTACAAGAAAGTGAAAATCAAAATCAACAAAAAACTATGAACCAGAGACACTTTTAGGGGGGCGGGGGTGGGAGGGGAGGGATTGGGGTCAGAATGGGGGGCTGCAATTGTATGGGGAATATAACAATAAAATTTATTAAAAAAAAAAAAAAAAAAAAAAAAAAAAAGACATCTTTAGAGACACACCACCCAAAGCAGTGATAGTGAAGGCCAAGATAAACAGCTGGGATTACATCAAATTAAAGAGCTTCAGGACAACAAAAGACACAATAACCAAAACAAAGAGAAGCCCCACTGACTGGAAGAAAATTTTTGCACACAACAATGATGCTAAAGGACTGATTATAGTAGAATTTTAAATTTCAAAGTAGTAGTCCTTGTTGTGAATGTTATGTTTATATTTTCTACTTACTTCTGTTGAGAACCTTTCATATTGTTTCTAGTCTGGTGATTATAAATAAAGCTGATATAAAAAAAAAAAATAAATAAATACTATACCTTGATTTTATTGAAACAGTGTAAGTGTTTCCTAAAACTGCCACAGTTGGAATAAGGACAAATGCTAAAGGTTTACATGGGTCAGGATTAAGTTTAAAGTAATACCTGTTTCAAGGAGGAAAAAAAAATAAATCAATCAGCAAAACATACAAAAACATACAAAACAACAAATTTCAAAACATTCCAGTAATAATATGGATATGAGAGCTCTAAAAAGGTTATAAAATCTTTAATAAATAATTTTTGCTATAGGTCATCTTTATACCAAAATTTTTACATGGACAATTATGTTCAGAAACTACTAAAGGAAATAAAAATATACAACATGAAAGCAATTCCTTTTTCTAACAGGCATATACCTGCAAGGACATATAAAAATGTTTTCATAAAGTAAATCATTTTAAAAATATTAAGGCTGCACTATTTTAAAAAATGAAAAAATATATATGTAAAGCATTGTCTCTTATAGTTTTAAAATTCAAATTCTCATCTCTTGCATTCACTAACAATGAGATCTCTATAACCTTCAGAATCATAAATTTGTGTTTTCAATTTTCTCTTTAATATAGGAACAAGGGCCTCCCCGGAGGCGCAGCAGTTAAGCGCTGGGCTGCGAAGCTGCCCGCAGCCTCTGCAGCGCCGGTTCTATCCCTGGCCACCGGGTGAGGGTCCCACATGACGCGCAGACCTCTCCTGCTGCCCGCTGCTCCCCTCAGCAGTGTACTTCGTCAGTCTGCCAGCTCTGCTCTACCCTCTGGCTCTGGTGAATTCTCTCAGCCTCCCGCGCTTCTGACTGTACCCCGTGCTTATATAAAATAAATGAATCTTTAAAAAAAAATGAAAAAAAAAATAATATAGGAACAAAAATCTGGATCTTGACTAAAATGAGGGACAAAGAAATGACATTAACAACTTTTGATTTATTGAACTAATTTTGGTTTTGTAGACTTTTGCCAAAAAATTGCAATACTTAGATAACTTGAAAGCTTTATAATAAATATTTCTGAAAACTATATTGAGCAAAAAGGGCCATTACTTAAGTGAGATGATCTATTTATATTTTTTAACCAATTTACCAATGACTCAATAGTCTAGAAATAATCTTAAAGGGCATTTCCAGGCTCTCATTTTCCTAGGACATATGAGGTAAAAAAGCAATGACAGTTTTCAGTAGTAAAATAATAATCATTAATTTTAGTTCCATGTGTAGTACACATTATAAAAGTACACATTTTTTCATTAGTAGTATTTTAAAATGTAAGCATTTTCTTCCCCCAAATTTAAGAAAACAAAATTGATCATGAATTGTGAACAACTTCAGTCAACAAAGTACAATTTCACATATGCTTTGATTCAAAGAAGGTTAAAGGTAAAATTCAATATATTCACTATTTGGGGGGAAGATTTTTCAGGAAGTTTGTATTCCCAAAGTTTCTACTTTTATGGTTAGAGAGAAAATGTGAACAAATTGAAAATAAAATTCAAGCAACATAACTGCCTACTTTTGAGGAAGTTTTAAGGACCACTTAACCCAGCAAGTCTCTACTTGCAGATATTTATTGTTTGAACCATATAAAGTATAATTATATAAATAAAACGCACCTAAGATTCTTTAACCAATAAATTAAAGATGGCATACTGAGTAACACAATCCATGTTAGTAAGTTAATCACAGTACTGTGCATGCGGAGACTATCTTCAGCATCGCTGGCAGACAAATGAAGATTGTGTACTGTAGAGTCTTTATGATGATTGGATTTTTTTTCACTTCTTCTAGAGTGTTTAGGATTCTATAAAGCAATGAAATGAAACAAGAAAATTAATAAAAATTTAAGTTTACTGTTCTATTCAGAATCATACGCAATTACTTAACACTTAAATAAATACATTTTCCACTACTGAATTGCTATTACTGAAACTATCCTGCTTAAAAGTACTTTGAAGCAGTTATAAAAATCTCATTCCTTTGACTTGCTACTCCATGACGGAGAACATATCATCTATGTAAGTATTACTTGAAGTAAAATTTAAAAGATTATTTGTACTAACAAAAATAACACATGTACTGGCAAGGATCAAATGAAAATTCATCTAAATCTATTTTAGTATTCATTAGGTTCACTTTGCTTAAAGTTAGTTAAGTTTATATCTTTTAAACATTTTAAAATCCTAGATTTTAAAACAAAACTTTTACATTTTCCCAAATACTTCCTTATTAAAGTAATGTAGAGTGTTGAAAATAAAACATACCACAGGATGGCTATTTTTCAAAGTTGTTATGCTGGCTTGCAGATGAACAATCTGAGAAAAAGAAATTTTTATTTTGAAACAAGAAACCAATTTCACTAAAATTGAGAGGTAGCATAATGTGAAATTTTAAAAATATAAACTAAAAATTCCCTTAAATATTTAAAAACATTATTTTAGAAAAGATACACAATAGCTACAAATGCTTGCAATATGCATTAAAAGACAAAAAATCACAAACTTTCAGTGTTAGAACCACAATATAAGTCTATATCTTTTACATTCTGTAAGCTGTTAGAATGATGCTCTGTTATAGTAAAGTGTCCTGGAGTCAAAATTTTGATAATATTTAAAATAGTATAAAAAGCTTAACTTGTTTAATATATTCTAAACCCTTACAAACCCTATTAACTATATGTGTTGGTAAAATGTTTCTAAGAACATGAGAAAGTTTGTAACTTTAGTAGGCTTCCTTAAGTATCTGAGAAATTTTTTGCTTAGTCAGTTATTTTAAAAATCAAATTAAAAAACTGAAAATATATTTATAAATTCAAAAAGCTCTCAATAGTTTTTTTCTGATGGACATAAATTTTCTTGGAAAACTGAAAATCATCTATAATATGCATTTATTAGTGTTAAAAGCAGGAGCAAATAAACCCTTTGCTTAAACAAGGAAAAACTATTATCCATTCTAGTATCACCTTTCCCTACCTAAAAGTGAAGAGCATGCAGTCATATAACCTAGAATTTTCTGCAAAACTATTGGCCTTCTTTGACATATTTGTCACTTACTCAGTAAAATTATCATCCTAATTAATTTTATCATTGGTTTCGGAATCTTTAGCAACACTACTAATATTTTACATAATCTCAGCAAGATTGACAGCTTGATCATTCTGATGTTTTTTCTATTACGCATGTTCAAAGGCAGGTGTGCTATGGAAACAACCCAAATGCCCAAAAATAGATGACTGGATCAAGAAGATGTGGCACATATACACAATGGAATATTACTCAGCAATCAAAAAAGATAAACTCATGCAATTTGCAGCAACATGGATGGAGCTGGAAGGGCTCACGCTCAGCGAAATAAGCCAGAAAGAAAAACGTGTGAAATGTTTTTTAAAAAGTTAATATGACTAGCAAAAGCAAGAAGCAATGTGAAACAGAGTATATCTTTCCCCCTCCCTTTTTTTTAAACAAAGAAACCTAATTTAGATTAATAATTTCAGTTCTATAGTGAACTGAAATCTTAATAGCCAAGACGTTTTATAAAATAAACAAGCAAAAAACTTTATACTTAAACCTGTTAAATAGCAGAAGGTTACCATTATAGTAAATAGAATTTTCATTAACAATACCTATAGGAACTTTCCTATAAGAAATTCGATGCCTGTCCACTACAAAGTCCAGTCATTTTGACTACTGACTTGACATACCTTAAACACATAATAAAGGTAAGTAAGAAGTATGGCAAATGCTCCACAAGTTGTCCAACTAACTATGATCAAAATAATTGTCAAACAGGGCAAATTTGGTGATAACATCTTGATATCTTTAGGAAGTTCAGAAGGCCTGGAATAACAAAAATAAAGCTTTTAAAAACAATTTAATAGTTACTTATACAGTCATAGATAGGAAGAAAACAATAATCTATCAGCCTCTCCTTATTAAAATGCAAGTGGCATACAGTAAGATATTTTTTACATAATGGCGAGGGATGATATAACTGACTTTAAGTTCTGATAATGCCTCTTCTATTTAGATATACCATGGCTTATATTTGTACTGCAGAAGAGAAAATGTTGCTAAAGATAGTCATTAATTATAGGCCCTATGACAGACATTTCTGAACTTGATAGGAGGGACAGGTTTCTATTTCTCAAAGTTTCTTGATTATTCAAAACCATGATGCTAATGTCAGAAGCACCTCAGAGGCATGGAAAAAGATCCTCTCTGTGACAGTAAAGCACATAATATGTCTGGTAAGGAGGAGTGGCAATGGAAATTAGATCTGTGGTTTATCAGAAAAGCCTATCAGTAACCTACACTGCATCTTAGGCTTATAATAAAACTCTGTGCAATGTTTTAAATACATTTGATCCTCAACATCTCAATTAATCTTTTGTCTTTAGGTTTGATTGAAAGTCAGTATATAAAAGCATTATGAGAGAAATACTTTCTCCTTGAAAAGAGTTGAAACAGTGAAATTTAAAAATGTGTGCTATTTATCAAAGCTTTTTGATTAACTCTTAAACACTAGGATCAAAATCAAATATAGCAAATAACTTGCAATAAATGGCTATCTTTGCAAAAATATAACACTGATTCATGTTTTTTTAGTTACACATCTCTCCTTAGAAATTATCAGTGAAAGAAAATTAATTTTAAGGCCCACTACAGAATATTATTTTTTTCTTAATTAAGAGCAACGAGAAAGATTTTAGTCATTTATTCTTTACCTTTTCAAAGCCAGCCACAATGAAGAAAGCAGTCTCACAGTTGTAGAAGAGAGTAGTCCACCCCAATAGGCAGTACACGTTCCAAATAGAAAGAGAATCAAGGAAACAAGGGGGAAACACATACTCTGACTAGTTAAAACGATGGCATCTAATTCTGGTAATAATAATACATCCCATAGTTCTTTAAACCATTTATATCTGTGAATAAAAGATTACATAAAATTAAAAAATATCAATAACTGACATTCAACAATCTAGTATTTGAGGTCTCTGATCATTCACTGGAGTTCCTTAAGTTCTATGATGCTTAATTTATAATTATACTAGGAAACAAATTTCAGTTCTTGTAGGGAGAAAGTCATGATCTCCCAAGTGAGTGTCCTGATCTTCAAGGATCTGAGTCCTATGCAAAAATACAACTTTACTGTTCTCTACTGATCCTTTACCGAAGACATGTTAGAAAAGTTAAAAAGTTAACTAGAAAGCAAAAGTTAGAAAGTTAAAAGCTAATTGTAAGGACAGAAAAAAGTTGTAAGTGATGGTTCCTAACCAAAAGCCACAAAGTGTAAATAAATTAAGAATGAAATGTTAAGTAGGATAGAGAGATCTAAAATACATTTGGGAAGAAAAAGTGAACTAAGGCACTATTTCATCAAGAATAGGGGACTGTGGTGATGGTGCATGGGTGAATTGGTGAAGGAACTTCTATGGGTACTACACCTGAGGTGGGTAAAAGAAAGCAAACATGGTTCAAAAATGAACAATGATGCAAAATATATATAAATTAAAAAATTAAAATAAATAAAATAAATTACATTAAAAAATAACAATTTGTGATAGATACTCCTTCACAGGCTAGGGGTAAAGTCTCAGCACTATCAATGCTATCACCACTACGGCCAGAGTTCAATCCCTGGCTAGGGAGCTAACCCATGGCACAGCAGACATCTCCTGTCTTGCCTGCTGCTCCCCTAAGCAGTGTATTTCAGCAAATCCTTCTGTTCTGCTCCCCACTGTCTCTGGTGAATGCTATTACTCCATCCCAGTTCTTCTATGCAAAATAAATAAATATTAAAAAAAAGAATATGGGATACTCGAAAATCAGGAACATTACATCTCTTTGCAAATGTTAAAGGCATGTTATATTTACATTTAAGTTTAGACTGATACAAGTTCAATAATTACTTTTGGAAAGGTTATACTAGGAAAGTAAATGTTGATATACTTATAAGGCCTTTGTCTAAGAGAAAAAATTCCACTTAACAGATCACATCAATTGCCATCAATCTGTATGAAAATTTATGCTTCATTTTGGAATTTAACATAATGTTCTATATATAAAACAAAAGTAAAATCCTTACCATAAAACTTACCCCAAGAGAAATTTAATCATAATTACAAAAGGATCGACTTTGTATGGTTTGGCTTCTTTATCCAACATAGTAGCATATTCTAAGCAATGACCTGGTGATTAAAACAAATTATATGTAGTAGAAAATGCAAGGTAAGTTTGAGACATTTTATCTTGCATTGTCTGTAACAGTAACATATTTCATGTCCTAGAAAGCATGTGTCTTTATTACTATCTCAGAGACACTCCTCAAAAGATTAAAAAATATTGTAATTCAATGGTTCTCATAGAAGAGTACATATTCAATCACTTGTGAAACAAATTCAGAAAGCCAAGAGTGAGATTTCACCAAAGTTTGCTTTTTCTCAAAGTTCTACTGGTAATTTTTTAAAAAGAACTTTACTGAGAAATAATTCTCATCACACACAATTCACCCATTTAAAGTGTGTGTAATTTAGTGGTTTTATCAGAGAAGTTCATCCATTTCCATAATCCAGCAGAACATATTTATTACTGCTAGAAGAAATTATTCCCCAACACTCTATTTCCACTGCTTCTCCATTCCTAGGCAACCACTGATTTAATTTTTGTCTCTAAATATTGGCTTATGCTGAACATTTCATATAAATGGAATTATATATGTGGTCTTTTGGGACAGACTCCTTTCATTAGCATGGTCACAGCATTCATCATGCTATAGCATATTTTATTTATCCATTCATCAAATGACAGACACTTTGGTTATTTTCACTTTTTGGCTCTTATGGATTAGTGCTCCTCTGAACATTAGTTTAGAAGTTTAGTATGGGTGCATGTTTTCAGTATGCTTGGGTATACCTTGCTGAGTCATACAAAAACTATGCTTAACTAGTTGTTTGAGGAACTACCACACTGCTTTCCAAAGCAACTATTTCACTTCATATCCCAGTGTAGGAAGGTTCCAATTTCTCCCCACTATCATTAACACTGGTTATGATATGTCTTTTTGTTTTTTTTTATTACAGTCATTCTAATGAATATGATCCATAGATGATTTTTGATAACATTATTGCTTCAGAACTTTCTTTTAATTGTTTTGAGACCTAATCCATACTTAAATCCTCCAATTAGCCAATATGATCTATTCCTGGGGTTGCTGTGAACTATCTAGATACAAATCTTCTATTTTTGAAAATCAATTATCAAGTCATTTGAAACTAAGAATGAGGTGTCTTGTTCAAACTTTCAAAATAAAAAAAAGACATTCAAATTCAGTTGATACCATATTGCCAGAATAATCTCTTAGTTAAAAGGTTGGATCTGGGCAAATCACTTGAAAGCTGCTTCCTTTCTGGAATATAAGTTAGATCAGGTTAGAATGATCACTAAAGGCAGAAATGAAACTGTAAAAAGTCATGGAAGGAAGGAGTAGCTACAGAAGGATCTGGCAAGACTGAAATGGTGAGGGGGACTTTGGACTGCTTTTATCTTTAGCCCTACTCTCTTTTCCTACCTCTTATCTTCCTTGATTAGCATCTGAGTCCAACAAGAGTGTAAGTGTCTTATAAAGTTTAGGCTCCTGGGAAACTGTTCCAACTGCTATAATCGTGGAAGGGTTCCCCCCCATCCAATGTACTGTAATTTCTGTATTTGCTTTAAATCTGTTCTCTACTCTTTACTTTGCTCTGAATTTTGAGAGGCTGACTTTTATGGACTAGCTTCTTGTTAAGTTCAGTGAATGAGAGGCACTGGCAGATATGAGGATGGAAGGAAATAAAGCTATTATTTCTCCACTTTTTCCCCTGCTGAGACACAAGCTGACTGACAGAGATTACAGCATTCCCATACGTATGTAGAGTTCCAGCTACAGTAACGTTGCCCTCTTCTACTGATCTCTAGGTTTGCTCCTTCCCTGGCTGATAACCAGGAATACTAGGTGGCTGTTGCTAATCTGGTACTTTATCATTTCTTGTTGGTTTCCCTTAACTCTACATATACCTTTGAAATTGTCCCTTCTTTAAACTTTCAATCATTCCAGTCAATGTGCCAAGACCTAATTGCTACAGTCCAAATAGTATACTGAATGCTTACTATGTGCTTTGTATTATATTAGGCAGCAAAAATAGAACAGAGGACAAGACCCCTATCAATGAGTGTCTTCTTAAGGATTTCTCAGAATAGATGAAAGAAACTTTTGGCACAAGGGTATAAAATGGAGAAAACAATAAGGCATTTCCTTGGGGAGCTCTTTAACCTGAAAGAATCTGAAAGCCTTGTATGCTTAAAGGTAATGAGTTGTGAATTTTTGTAAAAGTGGTATGTGCTCATTAGTTAAATGAAAGATAAAAAAGTAGTAATGCACCATTGAGGAACGAAGGAAGACAGGGAGGGAGGGACAGAGGAAGAAATAGAAAAATTCTTACCTGTTAAGAAAAGAGAGGATAACTGTCCTCCATAAGCAAGAAGAATGCTAGATACGACATAAGCAGGGACAGCTCCACCATGAAATCTCACAATCTGGAAAACAGACAAATCAACAGGCAACTTCTCAATAGTTGTGTTAGCGAAATATATGCACTTTCACATGGAATAAAAATATCATTCTTGACTTTATGCCTTTCCTGTGATGGCCACAGATATTTCCAGTAATGGGTATCAAAACTCTAATTAAAATACATGCTAAAAATACATGTTAAATATATGTTACAATACATGTTAAAAATATATAGTACATTAGAAATATGTTATCTGGATTTCATTAAAGCCATAATAAAGAGAATATATAATTGAGTAGCATATGCCAAATATCTTATATGCATCATCGCATGATCTCCTCCCCCAAATCCTTTGAAGTAGTTCATATCCCTATTTTAACAGATGAAGAAATTTATCATTATCTGGATTAAACATATTCATTTGCACACTCATTTGCACTTAGAACATGATATGCTATCAAAAAATATTAGCCATTATTATTAAGCTTTTATGTTTCATTCTTTGGAAATCTTGTGGAATGGGATTTCACCACTACATTATAGTGCCTCAAATCACTTAACTGATTCAATCTCTAAAAAGCATTCAGTAGTCTACACTTACCCGTAAGGAATATGTTCCACGATCCCTAATGGATGCCTGAAACCACCCAAACCTAATACACTGTTTTTCGTTATACATACATACCTATGATAAAGTTTAACTTAAAATTTAGACATAGTAAGAGATTAATAGCAATAACTTATAATAAAAATAGAAAAATTATAATACTATAATAAAAGTTACGTGAATATGACCTCTCTATTTCAAAATATTTACTGTATGTAATATTTTCAGACCATGGTTGATGACAGGGAACTGAAACTGAGTAATGTGAAACCATGATATGGTTTGTACATTTGTACAATAAAACAGAAACAAAGTGAGTGTTACAATCTTTTAAAGTTTAATTTTAAAAGGAAATTTACTTTAGCTATGTTATCCATTCCACAGAAGTTTTAAGAAAATATATAGACTCCTCTGGCAATCTGATAAAAGCTATGGAAATGCATATTTAGACAAAATGTTGCATAACATTTCAGAAATTCAAGATCTCCTTGAACTTCCTCCATGGATCCTCAGGGTTAGATTCCTTACTTTGGACTGTAACTTTACTTCTCAATAGTTGTGTGTCCTTGGTCAAGCACTTTACCCTTCCTTTTCCCTATGCCCCTATCTAAAAAATAATTGACATAAATAGCACTTACTTCACAGGGTATTCATTTGTGTATTAAATGTATTCATTTGTGTAAAGCATTTGGAACATAACTGGCATGGGTAAGTTACCAGAAAATATTTGATGCTATTATTAACCTTTAATGCCCTTCCCTGTGTTTAGAATTATTTTTTTAGAAATCTTGTACAGAGTATTCTTAACATAAAATTTCTTTTCAGTGAATGTCACTGATTTAAGAATTAAATGTTATATTGGGCCACAGATACAGCTTTCAGACACATTTCATTTGGTTTAGTACCTGGCACAGTATTCCCTTACATTTTGAATTATATGCTAAAATTGAAAAATTAAATGATTTTGTGTAAAAATTCAGATTTCTAATTTCTCTTAAAATCTAAAGATTTGGCAACACTGCACTGATTCCTACAAATAATCTACTAGAGTTTATATAATTCTCCTGAGAAAGCACTTTTTCCTTATTTTTTTGTCCTCTCTTCCATTACAGTAGACTAGAGAATGTGTATAAATGTTTCAGTGAGTGTGATGTGGTAACATACACCTATAGTTCAAAATCAATACAATGCTATAAACCATGCAAAAAAATTGTATTAAAAAATAAAATATGCATTAGAAAAAAGACTGTAAATATACTATTCACTTTCCCTTTTTCCAAAAAAGATATTAATTTTAAAAAACATTATCTAACTAAAAACTAAACATGGTGGGCCTCCCTGGTGGCGCAGTGGTTGAGCGCTGGGCTGTGAAGCTGCCCGCAGCCTCTGCAGCGCCAGTTTGATCCCCGGCCGCGGTCCCACATGGTGCGCAGACTTCTCCTGCCGCCCACTGCTCCCCTCAGCAGTGTACTTCGGTCCTTCTGCCTGTTCTGCTCTCCGCTCTGGCTCTGATGAATTCTCTCACCCTCCCGCACTTCTGACTGTACCCAGTGCTTGTATAAATAAATAAATAAATAAATCTTTAAAAAAAAAAAAAAAAAAACAAACAACTAAACATGGTCCCAAGTGGTATCTTTATGCCTCTCCCAGTCTTCTGTGAGTGAATCACAACAGTGGAAAAGTGAATTATTTTTAAAGAGTAAAGAAGATACACAACTTCAATTCATTCTCCCTATAATTTGTTCTCAAGCTAAACTTTTAAACAAATATGAAGAACATTTTATATCTTTTCAATAATTTGAGGCCTTTGACATTTGAAAAAAGTAACTATACCTGTGATCCTAACAAAACCCACACATTCTCATTTCTAAGAAAAATTTGCAGTCAAAACAATAATATTAGCCTGCCCCTTTTTGGTGCACATATACCTATGCTTGATTATAGAGTATTAAGCTAAGTTGGCTTTTCTTGTCACTTATCTAAATTATGTACTCCGGAAATAATATGGATAAGAATGTTATATCCTCAACCCATACCTCTGTGTACAGTAACATGCCTTTGGGTACTAAAACTAAAATTAACAGTCCAAGAGATAATTTTTCTTAATAATTGGTCCCTTAAAATTTTAGAGTATTTATTACAACTGTCCAGGATGCTATTTTCTAACTTATACTAATACTTAATCTTCTCTTTCTTTATAGCACAAAATTTAATAATAATCACAATTTAGTTCTCACCATATTGTTGTGAGGATGGAAGGAGATAATGCATATTCTAAGAGTCTTTAATTTTGATTTGTGAGTTTTATTATAAATATGGAATTAAATGACTTAAGTTTTTAAAGTTTTTTATGCCTGGACTGCAAAACACAACAGACCAAAAAATAAATTAAGTGAAGTAATAAAAGGCACAATAAAAAATTTAGTGAATTTTCAAATTATATAATTTCTCTGACTAATCTATATTATCTATCTGAGTCTGGGTTATAATATTCTGTAAATTACAATGATGTTAAATAAAAAATATCATTCTACTGCTTGCAAAATAATTTTTTTAACAATATTATGTTCCCCAAATAAATTTAAACATGCTTATTTTTAATAAGCTTACTTTTACCTTTACAAACTGAACATGTACAACATAAAAAGTCCTTTGAAAATGTTCACTTATTTGGCACCTATTGATTTGATTTGACTGAAATACAGCATGTATGAGCAAACTGAAATCCAAATGACATTCATTTAGCAAAAAAAAAAAAAAAATTAACATTTTCATATTCAGGAATCAGTTCTCATTTCTTGGAGTGCCAAACATGAAAGCATCAACTTAAAGCCAGGGATGGCTACCTATGGCCTGTGTGCCAAAAATGGTTTCTAGATTTTATTACTAGGTAGAAGAAGAAAAGCAATAGATGTAACAGAGGCAGCAGCAGCATGAAACCATATGTGCTCTGCTAAATACTTACCATCTGATATTTTATAGAAATGATTTACAACCCCTTCTTTATAGTATCTATCCACAAGGCAATAAATAATCAGCCAAAAGTTTTTCTTACCTGTCCAAGTATTTGTGAAAAGGAAGTCTTAACTGTCACCTAGTTTAAAACAATCATTAAAAAAAGGTTATTTTCTCTACTCCTCTACTTCATATTTTATTAAATAACTTCTGCACATATCTAGCCATAAACATTATTTTGTTATAATGATAAACATGAAAACACTCAAAATCTTAAAAGAATCTTTCTTTTATATCAAGAGTAATTTTATGTTTAGTATACATTCTCATATTCTAATTCTTTGACCATCAGGTGATTGCTGTGGTACATGTGGCAATCCTTTACTTATTAGAACATTTAATTAACCAGAATAGTATATTATCAGACCATGTAAGCCTAAAAGAGTTTATTGAATACCATGTTCAGAAGCTAATTTGCTAAAAAAATTAAGCACAAATTAATAAACGTACTATATAACTAGTACTTTAAAATCTCAACCCTACAACTACATACCACTAATTTGGTTAAGCTAAATTTTTCTGAGTAAAGTTCATAAAAATAGATTTCACATAATATAAAACCAGGAACAAACAGCACATTTAGTAAAATTAAGACAAAATAATATTTTAAAAAGAAATTTATCATTCATTATTTCTACCATATAGACCCCTTTTTTGATATTAGGAAATCTGGGAAAAGGAAATAAACCTTCCTAGGGAAGATATACACTTACTCTATTTTGTCAAAATATGGACTCGAGTAACCAAAACAAAGAGAAATCCTACTAAGTGGGATAAAATATTTGTACACTATACATCTGATAAGGGACTGATAGCAAAGATCTACAAAGAGCTTCACAACTCAATAAAAGCAAATGACCCAGTCAAAAAATGTGCAGAAAACCTCAAAAAGATGCTTCTTCAAAGAAAAAATGCAAGTGGCCAACAGCATATGAAAAAATGTTGAACATTACTAATTATCAGGGAAATGCAAATCAAAACCATAATGAGATACTACCTCATATTTTTGAGAAAGGTCCATCTTATTTTTATTTTAAAGATTTATTTACTTATTTATGCATAGAAGAATTGGGGTGTTGGCCAGAGGTGCGGGAGATGAGAGGATTCACCAGAGACAGAGTGGGTAGTGGATCTACAGAAACACACTGCTAAGGGGAGCAGGGGTGAGACAGGAGAGATCTGCCGTGCCATATGTGGATTATCTCCCTGGCCAGGATCAAACTCAGACCACAGCGGTGGTAGCGTGAGGGCACTGAGACTTAACCTCTAGGGAGGCCCTGATAATGGTCCATCTTAAAAAAAACTGGAAACAACAAATGCTTGTCAGGATATGGAGCGAAAGGAACCCTCTTTTACTGCTGGTAGGAATGCAAATTGGTCCAATCACTGTGGAAAGCTGTATGAAGTTTCCTCAAAACACTGAAAATGGATCTAGGGCCTCCCCTGGTGGTGCAGCGGTTGAGCGCTGGGTTGCGAGGCTGCCCGCAGCCTCTGCAGCGCCAGTTCAATCCCCGGCCACAGGCGAGGGTCCCGCAAAAAAGAGAAAAAAAAGAAAAAAAAAGAAAATGGATCTACTATATGATCCAGCAATTCCACTCCTAGGAATCTATGCAAAGAACACAAAAACGCTAATTTGAAAGGAAACCTTCATTCCTATGTTTATTGCATCATTATTTACATTAGCTAAGATAAGGAAACAACCCAAGTGCCCCAAACGGATGAACAATCAAATGGGGTATATATACACAATGGAATACTACTCAGCAATAAAAAAAAAAAGATAAATTCATGCCATTTGCAGCAACATGGATGAAGCTGGGAGGATTTATTCTAAGTGAAATAAGTCAGAGGAAAAAGATAAATACCGAATGGTTTTACTTTTATCTAGAATATAGAGAAAATGTTACAAGGGGTCAGGAAAAAAGACAAAACTTGCAAACTGACCATAGATGTGAGGCATACAGCAGGGGAGAAGGCGTGGGGACAAAACAGGGGAAGGAAGAGCACAATGGGCTATAGTGATTGATCATGGGTGCTATGATGGTAGGAGAACTATGGGGACTATGCCTGTGGTGAGAAACCAATTACTGCATAAAAATGAACAATAATGTAAGAAAATAAATAAATTTAATTATAAAAAATATATAAGGACTTCTGGATAATAATAGGTTGTCAGAAAAGTCATGACACATTAAAACAGACAAAATACTTCGTGACTTTTCTGATAACCCAATATAAAGCATTTGTAGTAACAAATTATTAGAGAGCATGAAGTATTTGAAGTCAAATTATTAATGCAAATCTTAACATCTCTGTGATATTAGAAATGTGAAGAAACAAGTAAAAAACATAAAAGCCTATTCTAGAGGATTATTGGTGCTTTTATGGTAAGTTTGGTGTGGTAACATACATCTGAAGAGGTGTGAACCTATACCCTTAAATCATATACAGTGTTGTAAATCAGTATTACCTCAATAAAAGATACAATTAAAAATATAGCCCTGTAAAATCCTTCAACAGTAAAAACAAGCAAATTATCAAAGCAATAAATAAAGTACATGAAACCCAAAATTATAATACAGATCTAACCAAAATTTGATTATAGAAAGATTCTATTCGTTTGACCTACCACTCCAAATTTACCCTGTTAGTTCCAATAAAGAATCCAAATATTTAGCTTGGCTTAAAGCAGCAGAGTAGAAATAAGTTATTTCACATAACTAGAAACTTATGATGTCACCACATATTTAAAATCTGGTATGTTCTGAAACAGTTTTTTAGTTTACTAATCCATAGAAAAGTAAAAATGTTACTGAGTCTATTCCCCTTTTCTTAAGAGAGCTACCATGATCATAAAACAAAGAGAGTAAGCACCAAATTGCACATAAACAGAGCTTAAAATAGTGAAAAGGAAAAGAAAATTCTTAAGCTCATCCAGGAGAGCTCAAAACCATTACACATTATGCCAATTACCACAGTATAGTCATGTCAGCTGATTTCAATGCTCTTCAATCTATAGAGGATTCTGGATTTTGAACTTCCAAATTCATAAGATTAATTTACAGTTGAATTTTTATTTTCTACTTCTTATTAAGATTCATACTTTCAGTGGTCTAGCTAACAAAATACTGAGGTAGTGCTAATTGGCAATAAGGAAAATATTTAAAGTATTATAGATGTCTATATTTTTCTATTTATTGGCTTCCACATTGCCATATACATAAGACTAATATAGAATATATTTCCAGTTTTTCTATAATTAAATCTTAAAAATTAAGCAAACATGTAACTTACCTCATACTGACAGTCTGATGATGTATACATTTTTAGTAATGCTACATGGCTATCATTATCTGGCTGAGCAACATGGAGCTTCACAGAAATTTCTGTGTTAGATGGAACCCTGGGGAGATAACCTAAGTATCAGTTCTCAAAAACAAAATACTGTTAATGCATAACCTTAAGTCAATTTTCAGCACAATACATAATATTATAATATAGCGGACACCAGATGCCAAATACATTATTATGAATGGGTGCTTTTCCAGTCATATCACAGTTTCAATGCTCTCTCTAGGGCACAGAAGTTGGGATATAGGGTGGGAAGGGGTTCACATCTCAAACAAGTAAGGTTTAAATTCCATATCATTTAAATGATCATTTTTCTTGATATGTCTATATATTATCTTGTTACAATATCTTATGGGCAAAATACCACATAAAGGACATTTAGATTTTATTAAGAGATACTTTAATATTTTCACTAAGATTTAAATTTAAAATTAAGTAGAATATGTATTATTCAAAAACACCAACATTTAAGGTAAATTCTTTCATATACTTACTGTGCAATGGTTAGTGAATCTTCATAAGACCAGGGAATATGAAGTTTATAGATACTAGTTATTTCTTCTGTGAAAACAAACAAAATATGTATTATAAACCTTGTGTTAACCAAATGTTACATAAACTACTATAATACTTAATTACATAATTAGCCATTTCATAAAAAATAATTAGATGTTATATTACATAATATGAAATTATAGGGAATTATTAAATGATGTCTAATGAGAATTACAAGAAGATGTTAGAACATGTGGGAAGTACTGAGAACCTAGAAAAACATTAAACAGATAAAGGTGAATTATAACTATAACACAGCAAATTATATAGTAATTTTTTAAATGTTGATATTTAAACTGAAACAGACATAATGCTTACTGTTAAGAAAGGCTCTATGCTAAATCTGTTGGAAATATAAACATCTTTTCTATTATATATCTAATTTTATTTCAAATGAAAGAATAAATATTATACAAAATTCAAGTGAAGACCTATTAATTCTTCAGATGATAGTATTACTACAATTTTTCAGAAAATACACTTACCTTTGGCTCCTGAGCACTTGCTTACTACGTTGACTTTAAAAGCTTGATATATCTAATGATTTGACCACAAAAACAAAAAATGAAAGTTTATTTGTTTAACTAAACAGTAAAGTTATGTCAAATCCTCATTATAAAAAGGATAGTTACCTGTCCAAAGTTAAGAAGCTCTATATTATAGAACAGGCCACTTGAATTTAATATCACTTTCCTTGAAGATAATCCTATTGAAGTAAAAGCACTGAATTAGTTAGATTACCAAACAATAAAAAAATACCCATTGCTTAAACATTAAAGTAGGCCAACAGATTTTTTAACATTACAGAATAAAAAGAGTTTATAGGATTTTACTTCTCATATGGAGGAATAAAACCAAAAATCAGTAAATTCTTGGTAAGCCAAGTGATCTGTGGTGACATCACCAGTAATTAAACATAATGACATCATGTATCCTCTGATATGATATATTGCCAAGTGCACATCACTTCTGTGATAGTATCAAAAATGTATAAGCTCAACCTAATCATAAAAAAAGCATCAGACAAACCCAAATTGAGGAAGATCATACAAGATAATTGATGAGCGGTAATTTTCAAAGGTTCCAAAGTTACAAAACACAAGGAAAGGCAAAGGAACTATCAAAGTTATAGGAGACTAAAACATAACTACTAAGTGTAGGAAGAAGAACATGGTGGAAAAAATCAATGAAGACCAAAGGAAACCTATATTTTAGTTAATAGTGTGACACCAATGTTAATGCTAATTTTGACAACTGTATTGTTTTGTCAACATTGTAGAGAGATGATGAAGGACACAGAGAACTCAGTCACCTTTCTATAAGTTTAAGACTATTCCAAAATAAAATTTAAAAGACTATATAACATAGTCATACATACTTTATCGCAATAAAAAAATAGTAAAAAATATTTAGAGAAATTTTGAAACCTTCATAGGGCAGACAGCAATTCATACCTCATAATAAACCTTAGTAAAAAGGGACAATAATTGAGGGTGTGGAGCCCTTCCTGTACTGCCAACAGCAATGCAAAGTACGGAAAACATTATGGAGGGTTCTTAAAGAATCAAAAATAGATCTACCACATGATCTTCTATTTTCACTTCTAGAGAGCTATCCAAAGAAATGAAACACTAATTCTAAAAAATATATGTACCCCTAAGTTCATTAGAGCAATATTTACAATAGCCAAGATAAGTAAAGAACCTAAGTGCCCATTGGTAGATGACTGGGTTAAGATGGAATAAAATGGAACTCAGCTATTAAAAAGGGTGAAATCTCCTCATTTACAAGAACACGGGTGGAATTTGAAGATATTATGCTAAGTGAAATAAGTCACAGAGAGAAAGACAAATACTGGATAATTTCACTCACATGCGGACTATAAAAAAAGCAAGCAAGTAGACACAAATAAACCTTTGGATTCTGATAGCAGAACTGAGGTTACCAGAGGAAGAATGGGGTGGAAGCAAAGGGGGCAGGGGCTGTGCGGAGGATAACTAACACTTTGGTGGTGGCAACATATATGTGAATAAGTATGAACTTTTAAAAAACACAGACAACATTGTAAACCAGTGTTACCTCAATTTAAAAAAAAATGGAGATTCAAAAAATGAAACAGAAATCAACTCACAAGTTCAGATACTTAAAAAAATAAAATATAGGGCCTCCCCTGGTGGCGCAACGGTTGAGTGCTGGGTTGCGAGGCTGCCCGCAGCCTCTGCAGCGCCAGTTCGATCCCCGGCCACCAGCGAGGGTCCCACCAAAAAAAAAAAATTTTTAAAAATTTAAAAAATAAACAAAATATAAACAAATAAAAGGATCAATATTTAGCACAGTTTTTAATGAAAGCACAAACATTCCATTCCAAGCAAATATATGTGATTGTGGAGAAAATTTCTTTTAAAGTTCACTTGTCAGAAGATAACTATTGGCCCAGTTATCAAATAAAAATGAAAGCAATGAAGAGTATCATATGGTTATTCTAAGAACTATACTGTAGGGCCTCCCCGGTGGCGCAGCGGTTGAGCGCTGGGTTGCAAAGCTGCCCGCGGCCTCTGCGGCGCCAGTTCGATCCCCGGCTGCTCCCCGGCCACCGGAGGAGGGTCCCACATGGCGCGCAGACCTCTCCTGCCGCCCGCTGCTCCCCTCAGCAGCGTACTTCAGTCCTTCTGCCTGCTCTGCTCCCTGCTCTGGCTCTGGTGAATTCTCTCACCCTCCCGCGCTTCTGAATGTACCCAGTACTTGCATAAATAAATAAAAATAAATAAATCTTAAAAAAAAAAAGAAATATAATTACTTTAAAAAAAAAAGAACTATACTGTACTTGAAATGCACAACAATATTTAATGTTACAAGGCTCTGTACTAACTGGCAAGATAATCAGCATTGTTAAAAATAAAAGCAATTCTTAAGATTTCCAAAATCAAAGTACTTACCAAAGGAAAAAAGATGAGTAACAGGAAGCTGTATGGATCTTGTCTCTTTTTTAAAGAATTCACAATCTACAACAAACTGAAATATAAAAGATTGATTAATTAGGAAAAAATAGAATTCAATGCATAATAAATTATCTTCACTTGATGCTTGAATGGGGAATGAGAGTCTTCAACTATGGAGAAGATGTGAGCTATCACACCCTAACTCTGGTTTTGCTTAGATGGCAAGAATTCCTAAGAAAAGATGCTGAGAAAATTGGGTAAGCAAATTTAATTTAATAAATTATTAACAAATCACCTCTATAACAATAACAAAGCTTTCTTGTAGTTATTTTTAGATGTTTGTAGAAGAGAGTCATTAAAGGATAAACAAATTATTAAGAACCAACATTCACTCAAGAGTAGGGATTTAGCAAATATATCTTTGAATATTTTCACAGTTTAAATGAAAATGTTATTTTGTTACATATCGCACATTCATTAGATATCTATAATCTAACTAGACTGTAATTAGGCATTTGAAAACATGCTGTCATTCATCTACAGAAAACTAAAGTTATTTTTATAAGATTTTTCAGGCTAAATAATGATTATAGTACCAGAAAAAAATGTTTACTGTGTATGAAGCAAGAAAAATAAATGATATAATAAAAAAATTAAACTTAAAATGTGATATCTGCACTATTAAAATTTTTAAATGACATTTCTAATAGCATTTCTACAACAGTATGAGAAACTTTGCTCTCAGAATGTGCAATAAGATGACTTCATTAAAATAATCTCCAAATGCAACCAAATTACTTGATCTCTAGGAACTGAAGCAATTAATCTGATGCCTAATTGTAGCTAGCAAGCATTCTGCTATTACAGAAAGAAGAAAGAAGAAAGTCAGTAGGGTCTATACTAGACTTTTCCAGTAACTACACCCTAGATTGTGTTTGAAGCAACGCTGTTTGCCAATTTTGTGGATTTTTCATTGTTTTTACACAAGAAAGAATAGTGGATTGTAGTATACAATGAGGAAATAAAAGGGAAAACTTAAGGGCTTTGCTTTTACTTTTCTTCCATTATTTTCAAACATAATGGGAGCAAAAATCTACCACTCCAAAATATGCCTTTTTGACAAGAGGTTTATTTCATGGAAGGGGCTCTAAAGGTTTGGTGGAGTTTGCTTTAAAAAAAAACATTTACTTGTAAATATCTCTCTGTAAGGGTTTCCTCCTCACTCTACTGGGAAGAACTAGTCTCCTGAGCTCATTTGAATGGAGAAATCTACCTATACATGTTTTTCTGTGCCTTCCATGGTAAACTCCCAAACTGATCTTCCCTCCTCCCTCACTAGCAAACTCCTTTGTCTTAGCTAAACTATTGATACTTAAGATGGTGTCTGAAGACATGTGGCGAGTTATTTAGTTTTATTGGGTCTCTTCCCATATATACACGAGGTATCTATGTTATTATTAAACTTCTTTTTGACTTTTTCTCTTATCAAAATGTTTAATACCGGTTTAATCATTTGGCAGTCTAGGAGAAAAAATCAGTATACAGTACAATTTCCTTTTCATCGCAAAGCAAACAAAGAACACAGATATTTTCATTATAGCAAAAGCAGTTAAAGGAGTAGCGAAATCATTTATTGAACAAGATTACTCATTGTATTTTTACAAAGTATATTTGGGTGTGTCATTGCCATGGATAGGGAAGTAGCTTTAAATTACTTTGAACAGGCACTTTAAATTTATTGCTTGAAACATCTGGCTATGCCTTTTACAAAATACTCTTACCTGAGAAAGAAAAAGTTCAAGGGTCTGTCTCTGAGACCTCTAAGGCAAGTACATTTTGAATGAATTTAATTATGTCTTCTGTCATCAAAAAATAAAGGTAATGTCCAAATTTGCATTTTGAAAACTATACTGTCTATTGACTCAAAAATTTTAAAACATCTATGATGTTTTGATGGGCTATAACAGAAATGCAGAAATTATTAAAGGTCTAAGTTAACATCCCAGTGAAATGGAGTTTGCAACAGGAGAGTCAACAGCGTAATTTTCTGAAGAATAAGACATTTATGTATTTATATAGACTGCTAAGAATACCAGTTTGAGAAAGGTTCACCAATTTCTTGGAATAGCCACAGAAGGTCCTTCCAACTATGGGAAACATGTTAAATTCATTCAAAAACAACTTACCTGACAGAAAGACCCTTAAATAAAGCTTTTAGTATTAATGATGTTGAATTACCTCTCATTTGAGCAAAGAAAAACAAAACAATGAATCTACTTCTGAGACCTGATCTCTGAGATGACTCCAAACTACATCCCCTTTTCATTTTCCTTTTTTTTTCCTTCAAACTTTCCTAATAATTTTAGCCAAAAAAATCTCATCAATTCTCTCATTCAATAAACATATCTTGAGCATAGTGGTTGTTACTAAAGATTGAGGATGTAACGTAGAATAAAACCTATCTGGTCCTTACTCTCAAAGAATTTACAGTACAGTGATGGCAAAAGAGATATAAATTATAATTCAGGGTAATAAATTCCCTAACGAAGTTAAAAACAAAACTCTCCATTTTCACACATATTGCTGTAAATGGTAAAGGTTCACCTTTTTAATAGCTGAGTATTATTCTTAATCTTCCTAATCAACTCTTCTTTCTTTGGGCACTTAGGCTGTTTCCATAAGTTGGCTATTGTAAATAGGACTGCAATGAACATAGGAGTGCATAAATTCCCTCAAATTAGTGTTTTTGCATTCTCATATAGGTATCTAGGAGTGGAAATGGGTGTCATACGAAGATCTATTTTTATTTTGAGAAACCTCCATACTATTTTCCATAGGGTTGGACAAGTTCTACATTCCCAACAATGAGACAATTTTAATATCACCTCATAATAAAGTCTTTCTTGATAACATCAGAGAAATCTTCACACACACACCCTTTATACTTTGCATGTATATGCTATATTCTGATTGGTATTACATAATTTTGGGCACCTCTTTTATTCTCACTCTTTCCCCTGCTTCCTATATCTCTCTCCTTACCTAACTGCATATAGCTTTTTGAGAACAGAGTTTGTGTCTTCCTCATTTGTGGGCCTGCACCAATTCTTGGCAGAGTCTTGCATATAAAGTGTACTCAATGATTAATATATTTTGAAAGAATAATAAAGAAGAAGTAGTTCCCACTAGGAAAAAAAAGAGACTTGGGTTTATTCTGCTTAGTTCAAGTTAAGAGTAGATTATCCTAATTATTTAATGGTCTTAGGTAGATCACCAAAATGGCCATTGTTTTAGAAAATCCCTATGCTATGAAATTAATTAAAATTAACTTCAAAACATTATGATAAAGGGCCTCCCCGGTGGCGCAGAGGTTGAGCGCTGGGTTGCGAAGCTGCCCACGGCCTCTGTGGTGCCGGTTAGATCCCCGGCTGCTCCCCGGCCACCAGAGGAGGGTCCCACATGGCACGCAGACGTCTCCTGCCCCCTGCTGCTCCCCTCAGCAGTGTACTTCGGTCCTTCTGCCTGCTCTGCTCCCTGCTCTGGCTCTGGTGAATTCTCTCACCCTCCCGTGCTTCTGACTGTTCCCCGTACTTGTATAAACAAACAAACAAACAAACAAATAAATAAATCTTTAAAAAAAAAATCCTGTAAAAAAAAATTATGATAAAAACCTTAATACATCTGTTACCTTACTTCCATGAATAGATGGTACATAAACAACAAGATGAGATAAAGATGGGTAGTCTTGAAGTCTTAACGTCAGAGACTATAAAAAGATAAAAATAAAAGGTTGATTTTATTTCCAGGGTATACAGATCTTAACATATGTTAAAAGAAAGAAATTATAAACACTTATTTCTTAATAAGTTATTTTTAAAAAGCAGATTTCAAACTTCACATTCAGTATTTCATAAAATGTTCATGCATTTTTGGGTCAAGAGGTCTACTGAAAGTCAAATCCCTAACGTTAATATGAACTACAAAAATATTCCTTAATCTGTGACTTTTCTTGTAAAATAATACATTTAACACCAAATTTAATTATTTTACATAACTGTCTTTTTTTCTAATGTAGCAGTATTATTTCTACATTTATTTTGGTAGTACATCACAAAGAACACTCAATAATTGATGAAAGAGTTAACTTTGATGGAAGAGATGTAACTTAATCTCAAATGATTCTGATGTTGCACCAGCAGTAAAGAATAGCTGACTGATAATCTATATGAACATCATTCCTTGGATCTTATTCAGTAAACAACATGAAGACAAAATAGAACTAATAATGCATTTCCCCCAAATGAACATCTATTCTCATCTCAACTAAAAACTAGATGCTAGTGTGCATATTTTGAGGAACGAATTTAAGGAGAATCTGAAGTCTCTGAAAAGCTAAGCTACCAGATAAAGTTTTTAAATCCAGTTTTTTCCTGAAAATACATTTTGTAACAATTTGTATGCATTAAAAAATTTCTGCAGATATTTAAGTTTCTCCATTCTTTTTCAGAAGTACTCATGCAGGCAAGTAGGACAGAGAATGTATTGAAGCTACAAAACTGTCAATAAGTGGCCCTCTACAAATTGGCCAGATTCACCTGGCAGTGCTTGTTAAACATAAATTCCTGGGCTTTATTTCAACTTAAACAACAAAGTCTCTGCGACTTTGGTAAAGGGCCTTAAAATGGTCATACAAACATAGTTATAGGCAACTGAGACCAAACAGACTAGACAGAATGAAAGGTAAAGTAATCCAAAAGAACAACATATACTCTGTCGCTTTCTATGCTAATAGCTTTTGTTATTATCCTCTTGTAAAAAGACAAACTTACCTACGAGTTGCTTAATGACATCACAAGCAACTATTAAACAAATCCCATGGAACACTAGACAAAGTACAGAGTTGCCTAAGTGCTTAACCATAAAGTGATGGTGAAATTGATCTAGAAAATTACTTTGGGTCTCCTTGAGATGCTCATTTCCGTAGTGTAGGTCTCTCCCAAAATGAATTCTGAAGTACTACCTAGCGTGTATTTGAAGACACACCATTCCAAATATACCCTCAAATTGAATTTAAAAATTTTATCTAGGGCTTCCTCAGAGGCGCAGCGTGTTGAGTGCTGCGCGTGAAGCTGTCTGCAGCCTCTGCAGCATGAGTTCAATCCCTGGCCAGTCAAGGGGAAACCCCATGGTGTTGTAGCTCTCTCCTGCCTAGCCTGCTGCTCCCCTCAGCACTGTCTTCAGTCAGTCTGCCTGTTCTGCTCCCTGCTCTCTCTGGTGAATTCTCTCACCCTCCCGTACCTCTGACCTATACCTCAGTTCTTGTATAAATAAATAAATCTAAAATTAATTAATTAATCAAAAATTTTATCTAGCTCTTAGCATGATGCTGTAATATACAAACATAATTTTATTTAGAGACTTATTAACGTAATTTTTACCTCTGAAAGTTAAAAAAAAATTGCATGTTGTTCTCCATTAAATATACTTCTAGAAAAAATTCTAAAATGTTAGCAAATGTCAAGTTTCTTTAGTACCTAGATGAAAAAAACATTCTAAAATGTCTATAGATTCAAGATTTTTTACCCCCAAATATTAAAATTTTAAAGCCATGATTTACCTTAATTGTTGGCAGAAGTTCAGCTTTCCATGATAAATCAACCCCTTGCCGGCTTTGAAATAAATGTGAAAATATAATTAAAGGACAAATACATTAAAATATTGTAACTATATGTAAGCTTAAGAGGAAAGAGAAACTAGAGATCTATCAGAAAGAGTTCTAATGAAATGAAATCTAGTAAGTTTATTTCACCATATTCCACTCACATTAGTTCCCTGTAGGAACAAAAAGACTGCTTTTCCTAACTACCATTTCAACGATTGCACATATTAATGACATTAATTTCCATTTTTAAACCAATACTATAATTTACTATAGTAGCAAAATGAGTTTAAGAATATATGAAGATATTCTAAAAGTATAATTTGTGAATACTGTGTATGTTGGTTCAAAGACTTACCACATAGAAGTGCTGTTTATGCAGCCAAAAATCCAACTATTTGTATCCTGGTAATAACACAAAACAAAATATGCTAAAAATTACAGAACATATAAAAAATCAGTATTGTCAACATTTTACTGTTATATAATAGGTTCAATTAAACACAATGAAAATATAAAATAGCAACTTGTTATTTAGAAATGTAGCCAAGATGTTTTATAAAGTCAAATATGTTAGGGTAGGAGAAAACGTCTATTATCGACATTGGTAAGTAAGCAGATAACAGAGAGTAGCAACAAGAAAAATAGTGACCTGATGAGTATTCCTCCATAGCATAATGTTTAAACAATATTAATTTTTGAACCAACACTTTTAGTGTTTGGGAATATTCATTCTTTTAATTAGGTAGTTACATAGTAAGCAGCCACATTTTATAAAATGAGTGCACTGAACTAGAGGTTGACATTTATTAAAAACAAACTCAGAGCCAAGTAATTAAAGTTAATAATCTAAGATAGGCTTTTTAGTTTATCATTCGTCCTCATTTGATTATCAGGCAAATAACATACATGCAATGGACTCTGTGTCTGGGTTGAAAAACAATTCCAATGGAATGGCTCAAGGCTGAAGCTAGTTATTACTTTTATCAGCTCAGCATGAAAATGCTGCCAAGATGATTGTGATACTTGAACACTATTATGTATTTAGCTTCAATCATTTAAGAGCAGTATGACCTAAGATCTTCATTCCAACTTTTAAGAACAATGTTCCAAGATTTGATGATGTAACCATGGACATCCTAACAGAAGGTACAAGAATGAGAAACACTGCTCTGCTGGTTACATAATTGTTTCCTTTGTATAAAGATGACAATAAAAAAGATCAATCCTTCCATTCAACAAATATTTATAAAGTACATTCCAGAGTCAAGGAATTATGCTAAATCCTCAAGAAAAAATGATGACTCAGGTAGACACAATTTCTACCCTCATAGAGCTTATGTTAAATGGTCAAGAGATACTTTTCAAGAATATAAAAAAGAAAGCTGTAAATAAACAAACAAAAAATAATGTGGTATTTTTCTGCTTTCAACTGCTAGCAAATACTTGTGTGGCATCTGTATAGTATCCTTTCAAGGTACAATCCACTTGTTTTTTTTTAAAGATTGATTGATTGATTGATTGATTGATACATACATACAAGCACTGGGTACAGTCAGAAGCGCGGGAGGGTGAGAGAATTCACCAGAGCCAGAGCAGGGAGCAGAGCAAGCAGAAGCACCAAAGTACACTGCTGAGGGGAGCAGCAGGCGGCAGGAGAGGTCTGCGCGCCATGTGGGATCCTCCTCTGATGGCCAGGGAGCAGCCGGGGATCGAACTGGCGCTGCAGAGGCTGCGGGCAGCTTCGCAACCCAGGGCTCAACTGCTGAGCCACCGGGGAGGCCCTACAATCCACTTTTGAAGTTGTTTTTTATATTTACTGAAAGGAGTCCATTTTCAAAGGTAGTCCTTATTATGTAAATTGTCAATATTGCATCCTACTTACTTAAATCAGTGCATAGGAAATTCTCATTCATCAATGGATTAAATAAAGTATCATTCAGCCCACCGTAAAATACCATGTTGATACAACCTAGTTTAGTGTCAAGAAAACAATTTCAGCCATCTACATCTATATCTCAACTAATTATAAAAGTTATATTGAGAATCTTTGAAAAAGTCACTCTACATTCTGAAGAAAAGAAAATACATCTTGTAAATCTTAAAAACAAAACTGTCTACAGTAAAAAATGATGCTGTCAGTGGCTGTTAAAATTACCAGGTGAAAGAGTCATTAGGAACTTTCTAATGGGTGGATCATGCTGATACATCATTACTGCTCACTAGCAAATCTTTATGTCACTAAAATTGGGATAACCAGATATTATATACCTCTTCATGTGATAAGTACTTAACTCTATTATAAAACAATCTTACCAAAAAAAATCAATCAACTAAATTTATAAAGTCAAGGTTTTTAGTCTAACTACTGGTTTGTAGAAAACATAAACGACAAAAACATATTAAAAGATATCACAAGAATACAATCAGCTAAACCCAGAATGTGGAAAATTCTATAAAATGTATTTACTTTCTTGAACATAAGGCCTGGAGGAGAAATTTAAGATCCAGAATCAAAAGCAATATACAGACTTTGTTTGGATTCTGATTCAAATAGACCAACTTAAAATTTAGTTGAACACAAGGAAACTGAACAGAGACAGAATATCACATAATGCTCAGGAATTAATATTAACTTTGCTGGATGAAATGGTATCAAGGTAATATGCAAAATTTTTATCTGTAAAAAAAATTAAAGTATTTATGGATGAAATGTAAAATGCCTGGAATTTACCTTTAAAATGCTTTCTAAGGGCCTCCCTGGTGGCAGAAGGGGTTAAGCTCAGCACTACAAAGCAATCTGCAGCCTCTACAACGTGAGTTCAATCTCCGGCCAGGGAGCTACCCACATGGTGCAGCAGACCTCTCCTGACTCGCCTGCTGCTCCCCTCAGCAGTGTATTTCATTCAGTCCACCTGTCCTGTTTCCCTTTCTGTCTCTGGTGAATCCTCTTACCCCGCAGTTGTTGTATGTATGTATGTATGTATGTATGTATGTATGTATGTATGTATAAATAAATACATATTTTAAAAATATTTATTAAATGGGGGCTAAATGAAGAACAATAGAGTGTTGACAACTGTTACAATTGTGTGATTACATGAGAATTCATTACCATATTCTCTACTTTTAAATATGTTGAAAACATCTATAATAAAAATTGAAATTATGTTTTAAAATTCACAAGCTCATTAATAACCATAGATCTGAATTACAGAAAAGGAATCCTCCAGTAAGCCAAATAGATAATTTGTACTTTGGCAATGCTTTTTCTCACTATAATACTGAAATTTTGATTTGAGATTTAGTGCTGAGTGTTGATATTTTAAATCATAACTCTTAAAGAGTCAGAATCTCTCAAGATGAACTGTCCATTCAGATTTTAAGCTGAGATGTTAAGTTATCTGTAAGAGATGCAACTGCTCATAGTCCCATTAAAATTAAGATTCATTAGCATCTAGCCCACAATGCCTGCCAACCTTTTTTTATTACTATATACGAAATGGCAGCAACTACCAACTAAGTAATAGCTTAGATCCCACTTCTAAAAAATACAAATAATCCAGTAAAAGAGAGATGAGGAAACTTAAATAATGAAAGATGCAAATATAAATTGAAGAATCTTGAGTCATAGCAAAAAATCAGAATAGAAGAATAAGAATCTATATTGGGACACACATTCCTGGAAAAAATGCTGATAAATTATTAAATCATTACCTAAATATTCCTAATATAACAAAAGCATTCAATAGCACCTAACACATTTTTCTAATGCCTTGCAGTGTAGATCTTCACTAACTAGAGATATACAAACAAAATCCTCACTCTGATACTATAAGTATAGATAATATTAAAATAAAAATACTATACTAGTATAGAAAATATACTATATTGTATGGTATTCTTTTAGTTAGAGAATATTTGTTTTTAAATAGTATTGCAAATTTTAGTATGGAAGCCACTAGAAAAAGGGTTTCACCTTATAAAACTCCTGCAGAACAACTCTTTTTAAACATATCTATTCTTTTTTTTTTAAAATAATAAATTTTATTTTTATATTCTCCCATACAACTGCACATGCCCCATTCTGACCCCAATCCCTCCCCTCCCGGCCCCCACCCCCCAAAAAGTATCTCTGGTTCATAGTTTTTTATTGATTTTGATTTTCACTTTCTTATAGTTATTCATTTTCCTGATCCCTTATTTAAGTTTTCTAGATTCCTGCTATGAGTGAGACCATCCGGTATTTTTCTTTTTCTTTTTGGCTTATTTCGCTGAGCATGATCCCTTCCAGCACCATCCATGTTGCTGCAAATTGCATGTGTTTATCTTTTTTGAATGCTGAGTAATATTCCATGGTATATATGTACCACATCTTCTTGATCCAGTCATCTATTTTTGGGCATTTGGGCTGTTTCCAAAGCTTAGCTATTGTAAATTGTGCTGCTATAAACATAGGGGTGCAGGTGTTCTTTGGAATTGATGTTTCTGTGTCCTTTGGGTAAAGACCTAGGAGTGGAATTGCTGGATCATATGGAAGCTCTATGTTTAGTAGGTCCAGAAATCTCCACACAGCTCTCCATAGTGGTTGGACCAGTTTGCATTCCCACCAACAGTGCAGGAGAGTTCCTTTTTCTCCACAACCTCGCCAACATTTGTTGTTGCTAGTTTTTTTAATATGTGCCATTCTCACTGGTGTAAGATGGTATCTCATGGTAGTTTTGATTTGCATTTCCCTGATTACAAGTGATGCTGAACATTTTTTCATATGTCTGTTGGCCATTTGCATTTCCTCTTCAGAGAAGTTTCTTTTTAGCTCTTCTGCCCATTTTTTGACTAAACACATCTATTCTTTAAAGTACTAATAATAGAACTTTAGAATTAAAAGAGCTTTGAATTTAATTCCCTTATCCTAAACACAGGGAAACTAAGGTAGAAAAGATAGGGTGGAAGTTCTAAAGTACAGTTAAAGGCACAATTTAATAGTTTATTATTTTACTATAGCATTTTGATAAATATTTTTCAATCAAAACTATCACATACAAATATTTTTCAACTGTTTAGATTTAAGAATATCTGATAGTAAGGTAAGAGCTATGAGATATTAGCTGACTCTAAAAACTGAACAACAGCTAGACTTTTAAATGAACATAAAATGTACCAATTATCTTACCAGCATGGTGCTCTGACAATAGACATGAGTGTAGATTTTTCTATGATTTGCAAGAGGAAATGTAAAATATATCTTATCAGATTCCTAAAAATGAAAGGGAAAATACTCAATAAAACTGTCATAAGAGTAGATAATTTCCTATTAAAAAATCCTGATAAGCAGTGAGTAATTATTCTAACCCTATCATCCTTGATGTTACTGAAAAACCAACATTCTAGGAGCAAGAAAAAGAAAATATAGGTATAAGATAGAGAAATCAGATATAAATTCTGTAGTTCTGAGTTTGTTTTAGAAATATCAATATAGATACATGTTTTTATTTTGATTTGGTCTTTCACCTTATGTCAACATAAAGCACATTTCTTAGCTCTGTCCCCTGAAAAGACCTAGAAACATTAATCTACTAGCTATAAACATCTTTAGTACCCAAATTATGATTTTTAGAGTCCATTTCCAAATATTAGGAAGAGATCCTTAGGGAAAAAAACTAGTTGAAGAATAAGGCAGGAAATTTACAAAATGAGCTACAATGTCTTCTCACACTAATTAGTGAGGAAACTGTCAAAGACAGCTAAAGAGATGTTTCAGGAGTCTAACTTTACATGGTCAAAGACAGAAAAATTTTAATATTAACTTTATTAATAAATATAGAACAATATTAGTATTTTAGTTTATAAAGAAACAAAAGTATGTGTAAACCCATGAGTTCATAATAATAACAAGCTGATAATAATAATAATTTGGGGAAACTTAAAACTTCTTATGGTCACTGATGAAGATTCTTATGAACCAACTCACTATTTTGATAACCAGTAAATGTAAGATCTAAAGATCTAAGAATTAATCATTTTTTAACCTCTGTAACTTGACCCATTTTTGACAAATTTAATAGATGAGAAGTTTTTTTATACAGTGTTACAGTTAATAAATGAAGAATAACCAGAGTATCATTTTTGCATCCCCCTAAATAGATTAATGACTCTAGGCATTCTTTATCATCAGCTGCTAATACCACAATTAGAAAGAGTGCAGCAAAAACAAAAACAAAATATGAATGTGATTAGGGGTGAAAACTTAACTTGTAAATCACAGGAAAAGAATGGGCAAAAAAACATGTTGAAGGACACTATAGAAATGGAGTCAGTAAAATCAAGACCATATGAAATGCTACAGGATGACTTGTGTTTTTCAAATAACTACAAGAGAAAAAAAGGAGTTGAGGCAATATAATCGATTAAAAGAGTAGACATATCCACATAAAAACAGTATGTATGCCCTGTATCCTCACTTGAAGAAGCAAAGTGAAAAATAAAGAAAATAAAATCTGACAAGTAAGACAAAATTGGAAAATAGAACACTAACTAGTTATTATTAAGGAATTATTAAATTGTTTTAATGTACAAAATATGTGGTCATCTTTTTTTAAACGGTCTTTAACTTTTAAAGATAAACATTTATTTTTGAAAAAGGTACAAATATTCACAGGTAGTATACTTACATTGTAAGCCACATAGGTCCATTTGGACACTTTTACTGGAACCCACATAGATGTCCCTATAGCAAAAGAAATTAATTTATTTGCCTTTTTTAACATTAAACAATTTCTTTTTGAATACTGATGAAATACTTCTAACTAATAGAATATGAAAAAGTGTTTTTTTTTTTAAGGTTAGCTATTGTAAAATAAAGTCTAGTAAGGTGGCTTCTATGCGCTCATCACCAACTAGCATTCTTAGCTAGTAAAGCATTTTAAATGCTTGGTCTTGGGTGTCTTTAACTTTAGAAGAATGTCAATAAAAGAAAGTAAGCATTTCATTTTCCAAACAACACAAGAAATTGAGTATGAAAACTGCTATTGTGTTGAAAAGGAAAATTTACTATCAAAACATAGCCTATTAATCCAAAAGATGGAAAAAAGACTGACACTAAGAAACTAAGTCAAGGAACAATACAGCACTTTTTCATGTGACTGTCAGAAAAATAGAGATATTTAACTTTACATTTAAATTTCTTCTGTTTCTGTTACCTTTAGCACAAAATTTTTATCAACAACATCTGACAAAATGCTTTTCTACTTTTTCCCTTCCTTTAGTTTTTCTCTGCCTCACAAGAAATCTTTATAGAGGAATTAATAGGCTAATAGTAGCTGACATATCACAATTTCAAAGCTTTTGCTAACAATACAATTATTTAAAAATAATAATCCAATCTCAACCTAAAATTAAAACATACGGTTACCACCAACCTGTTAAGTCAGAAATTATCGTGGGATTTTCTTCAAAGTGTTTTGCTGGGTGTCTTATAAAGTGGTGATTCAAAACTGATAATTTCTTCTTGGGATTCTGAGTTATCTAGAAAGAAGAATTATATACTCTGTATTCTTTTACATCCAACTTTGATAGTTCAAAGAAACTTTGCTTCAAGTAATAATAAAAGAACATTTACTCTGGGAAAGACAGTTTTTTGTTTGTTTGTTTGTTTTAAAGATTTATTTATTTATTTATACACACACTGGGTACAGTCAGAAGCTCGGGAGGGTGAGAGAATTCACCAGAGCCAGAGCAGGGAGCAGAGCAGGCAGAAGGACCGAAGTACACTGCTGAGGGGATCAGCGGGCGGCAGGAGAGGTCTGCGCGCCATGTGGGACCCTCCTCCACTGGCTGGGGAGCAGCAGGGAATCGAACCGGCGCTGCCGAGGCTGTGGGTAGCTTCGCAGTGCTTAACCGCTACACCACCGGGGAGGCCCACTGGGAAAGACACTTTAAGTGCTTAATATGTTATTAATTTAATCATCACAAGAACTCTAGGAAATAATAACTTTTAATAGAATTTTAAATATAAAAAATGAAAACACATATAAATTATGGAATTTACCCAAGGTTACACTCCTATTAAAAGTCTGGGCCATGGTTGAAACCTAGATGATCTTGCTCCAGTGCCTATATTTTTAATCATTAAGCAATAATATCTCAAGTAACAGTTAAGAATGAAACATATAAAGATGTATAGAAGAGAATTTAAGAGAGCCTTTTGGCCTAGTGATTCCAGGGCATTAGTTTGCAAACTCAGACCAGTGGAATTTTACAACAAAGAATTCATTGGTCACTAGGAAAAATAAAAATTGCCAACTATCCTTCCTTGGCAGTCTAACCCAAAATTAGTTTTCATTTTTTTAAGCAGTCATATTTGTTTATGATCAACTAAAAGTCATAGGTCACGTGATTTAAGCTGTGACTTTTATGTTGATAACCATCAAGAATTACTGTGTGATTATTTGGTAGTACATGTTTGGAACTAATTATACCTTGAATTTGCTTACAGTGTATATATGTCCTGCTTCTTCTCCTAGACTATATGCTTCTGGAGGGAATCATATTCCAATTTTTTATTGTCTAACATTTAGCTTAATTTATTATATACTGTGACAATTTTCATATTTTGATTCTTAGTATTAGTTATCAAAAATTTATTTGTCCCCTAAGATGTGTTTGTTAAATACTTATACATTCAGAATTATATTACTCTTTGATATTTGAGTTTTCTTAGGATTTAATGGAAAACCTGATTTGATTTATTAAAATTAGTTTTATATACAATTTCTGAAAAATATTCCTGCTTGAGATATGCTTATTCTTCATTGGTTGGAATGGGGTTTCTCCTAAATTTACCAAGTTTTACTTAAATCTGCCATTTCAAATACAAACTGATCTTGCAACTTTAATTGATTCTATTATGGGTCCCTAGTTGTACTATCTCAAATAGACCTAAAAACACTTGCCACAGTTAAGACTCAATAAGCTGAAAGACGTTTGTGTTCTAAGACCCATTCACAGTATCAACTCTATAAAGCTGATTTAGTTTAACAACTATACTAACATAATATCTTGTGGTATATTTCATTCTTCAGGAAAGAGCCAAGTAAAAAATATAGATATTACCCCACTCCCATGAGAATATACTACCTGAGCAAGGTTCTAAAACACAATGATCAGGAAAGCATCACCTAGAGATATAGTAAGAAAGAGGACACACGTACTAGTTTCCCAAAGAACTGGAGCCTCAGGGAAAAGAATCCAAAAATATCTGAGCTGCAATACTTGGCCATAAAGTAAGAGACTGCTTAATACACAAGGAATTTTTTCTCCAAAAGAAGAAACCAGAGCCATAGTTCTCAAAATATATTTCTATGGAACTGTGATGCACTGCAAAATGACCGGAAGAGAAAGACTGCTTAAGATGTATAATGGCAATCTGCATCACAACTCACAGAAAGAAATTTAAGTTAATGGACAGAATTCTCTGAATTTTGCTGAAGTCATTTCTCGCAGGCAAGAAAGAGATAAAAGAGTAACATGTTCTCTAAAGGGCACTATGATTTCCGGGTATTCTGCTAACTGAACAACTAGTGGAAAATCACTAGTTTGGAGCATTTAGATGTGAAATCTTATTACAGAAAACGTTCAACTTTTACAAGTACATATGTTCTGGTGAATGATTCTGAAAGGTATCAGAAAGATAAAATGCTTTAAAAAAAAAAAGCCTCATTTTTTTTTTTTAAAGCTTTATTTATTTATTTATTTATACAAGCACTGGGTACAGTCAGAAGCACGGGAGGGTGAGAGAATTCACCAGAGCCAGAGCGGGGAGCAGAGCAGGCACTGCTGAGGGGAGTACAAGGTACACTGCTGAGGGGAGCAGCGGGCACAGCAGGAGAGGTCTGAGTGCCATGTGAGACCCTCCTTCGGTGGCAAGGGAGCAGCCGGGAATTGAACCAGCACTTCAGAGGCTGTGAGCAGCTTTGCAACCCAGCGCTCAACCGCTGCGCCACCGGGGAGGCCCCTCATACTTTTTAGATCTATCTTTTTAGGCTATTCTTTTTTTTTTAAAGATTATTTATTTATTTATTTATTTATTTGTACAAGCACTGGGTACAGTCAGAAGCGCCGGAGGGTGAGAGAATTCACCAGAGTCAGAGCGGGGAGCAGAGCAGGCAGACATACGAAATACACTGCTGAGGGGAGCAGCGGGCGGCAGGAGAGGTCTGCGCACCATGTGGGACCCTCCTCCAGTGGCCGGGGAGCAGCTGGGGATGGAACCGGCGCTGCAGAGGCTGCAGGCAGCTTCGCAACCCAGTGCTCAACCGCTGCGCCACCGGGGAGGCCCCTTTTTAGGCTATTCTTAAGAGTCTAGTAGATAGGTCATGATGTCAACAATACATTACTAAGGAAAAAAGTTATAAAATAGTTGTGATAAAATTTTATCTTAAGTTAAAATAGTTGGACAGATATATATAAAATTTTAAATGGTAAAGAGGAAGAACTGGGGAGGGGTGGTTTAATGTAAATATCTTCCACTCCCATTTTTATCGCATTCTATAAATTAACAGTGGTAAAAATATTATCAGATAAAGATATTTCCATTTTTAAATTAACATGTCAATATAAAGTAAAGGGTTCTGTTTTCATCCAATGTAAAAATACCTATTCAATTTCATCACTACTGTAATCAAAATTTTAGTTTAAAAATACATACTTGTTTAGTGTCAGCATCAATAAGATCAAAGAATGCTCGAACTGTAGTCAGTTGCAATTGTTTACACCTAAAGAGTAAAATGTTACAGATGAAACTTTACTGAAAACGTACTTTTAACACAAACACATCCAATTCCCTTATTTATTTTTATTGAAGTAACATTTGTTTATAACATTATATAGTTATCGGGTATAAAGCCTATAAATCAGCATCTAGATGCAGTACATTATGTTCACCACCAAAGGGCAAGTTTTCATTTATCACCATACAATTGACCCCTTTTACCTAATTTACCCAATGTCCATTTCCCCTTCCCTTCTAGGTAAACACTATTTTGTTCTTATAGTCTCTAAGTTCTGTTTTGTTCTGTTCATTTTTCTTATCTTCTCAATTCTACTATTTAATGGAATATTTGAGTTTCCTTTAATGCTATAATTAAATTATTTAACAAATCATTATTACTAAAGACATATCTTAAAATTGAAGCATACAAAAGTAAAGCAAATTAAATCTTCCTGGATATTTGACAGAAGGACCCTTCCTTCTGTATTTCCTAAATCTCCTCCTCCACGTACATATATATACTACCTACCCCACCTTTACAGGCCTGAACTGCTGAAGTTGCTGCAGATATTATTTAATTGACCAGCCAGATGAAGGTGAAAAGAAAATCTTTAAGCCAAAACATTTAAGGATAAGGGTTTATGTTTTTCTTTTCCAATGTTTAATTGATTTATTTACTTATATTAAAGAGAAATCTAATTCCTACTGTTTTCCATATGCTGCTCCCTAAAACAGTCAATGCTGTATAGTCAAGTCCCTGAATTTGGTTATTGGCTAAGAGCTCCGGAAATCTTACCACAACTGCATTTTATTCCATACAACTATCACAAACTAAAATTTTGATATTTGGCATTAGCATCATTGAAAACTAATGTTAGTAGTTCTTGAGGAGAGAATTTTATAGGCTGACAAAGGATCCTTGATCAAACTGAGACAGGAACCAAGGTTAGCATTTTAAGTCCCTAAGTTAACCTTTCTCCTAAATACTTATTTATTTTTGCATAAAGCTCAAGAGAGCTAACAAATCAATCAATGCATTGATAAGAAAACAAAGCTACCACAAATCACTAAAATAAGTTATATTAACTTACCATACAATGGAAAGGTGGTCTGTTGAGACCCATGTCTTAGGCACTGCTGAACTCTAAAAAAATGACCAAAAAAACCCCAAAATTTTAAAAAAGCATATTTGTTATTCTCCAAGAGATTTGAATTCTCCTAAGTTAATATTTAGAAACAGCTAACATTAGTTTCACCATTATGATACATACATTTTAAAATAATATCTTCTTATAAAAGGTGATCCAAAATATTAAGATATTTCCTACATAAAATAATTCTCTTTAATTGCTAAAACTGCTGAGTCAAGCTTAAACTGCCTTTTAAAAATTAAAGCATCCAGATTTCTTACTGAATTTTAATGTCTCTTTATTACTGCAATAGAATTGGGTTTAAGACTCTTTAATAAATCAAAGTTTATATGTATGTTAAAACAGATATTATAGTAATTTTAGTTCTGACTACAATGCCACTTGATAAACTCTAAGATGTTATTTCTTAATCAGAGTATGCCTAAAAAAGTATCCAGTCCAGGGAGAGGTTTCAAAATAAATATCCCTGATCACAATTCCAACTACCAAATCAGACTCTAACAAGTTGGGTCAAGGCTTACTTATTTTGGAAAAAAATTCCTAAATGATTAGAATATATATTACTGGTTAGAGATATAAAGGCAAATGGATCTTTAAAAAAAAAATACATATTTGCAGAAGGCTACCTAACAATGACACAGCTTCAAGAACTAGAGATGCATTTTCCTACCAGGTAATGACCTCCCTATAAATAGCATCTCACATACATACAAAGGAGAACAGTAGTAAATCTAGTATTTTTCATAGGATCTCTCTATGCACTGTTAAAGACACAATGGGCTACCCTCACCACATCGAAACAGAATAAAAATAGGAAACTAACAAGTACATGTAACAAAATTTACAGAGACCTAAAATGTCTCTCTCATAAAGAGCTCAAAAAACGTAGATATTTATTTTTATTATTTTTTTTTAAAAGAGACATATATTATTTTTTTGTTTGTTTGTTTATACAAGCACTGGGTACAGTCAGAAGCGCGGGAGGGTGAGAGAATTCACCAGAGCCAGAGCGGGGAGCAGAGCAGGCAGAAGGACCGAAGTACACTGCTGAGGGGAGCAGCGGGCACAGCAGGAGAGGTCTGTGCGCCATGTGGGACCCTCCTCCGGTGGCCGCGTTGCAGCCGGGGATCGAACTGATGCCACAGAGGCCGCGGGCAGCTTCGCAACCCAGCACTCAACCGCTGCGCCACCGGGGAGGCCCAAAATGCAGATATTTATAACCTCAGTTCTGTTTATGCTTTAAAGATAATTTTTTATTTTAAAATCAGTAAATCTTCATTCCAGTCTAGAATTCAGGAGTGTGTCGTATGTTTGACACCCTGTAATATCATATGTATGATAGTCCACACTGCCTCATACTTATAACTCTAATCAGTGGATAGGTACTTATTTTGAACAAGAAACAATTATTCCTCATAAATAAGAGTAGTTCTGACAAAGTTTCAAAGTCTGTTTTACTTTTCATGGAAATGATCATCCTATCCTGCTTTCCCACCAGAATCATTCATTCATTCAAATTCTTTCTCTATCTTATACAGACAAGCACATAGGTGCATGAATTGATAACCGACTATAACAACTAGGCAAACATTTCCAAACAGCTACATATCATCTCTGCTTCTATGCCCCCCTGCATCTATCATATTACTATTTCAGTATAATCTTTAAAAAAAAAAAAAAGATTACCACGACAGATAAGGCACTGGTATGATGGCTTAATTTTGGTAGAAAAGTCAGTCCTGAACGAACTTGGTAATCCCGAAATCCTCCAGCTACAGAAAGCGTGGTTAAATTTATATGTTCAGCATTTAAAATCCAATAGTTGTTTACAGTCATATAAAAATCTGGTCGGAAATAAAGAAAGACACATTAAAAGTTAGTAGTCATTCTATTTAACAATATAATATTAATAATAAACTGAATTTCTGTTTAAGCCATGTTAAATAGCTATAAACAATGTTATTCGCATATCCTTATTTTGAGAAAAATCAGTATCTTTTATACAAACACTGCCTTCCCCATCAAATCAAAGCACAAATATTAAAGAGTTAATGAAGAAAAAAGATAAACACACCTTACCGGCTTTGAGACCAGGGCAAGAGAGTTCTCATTTCCTTTTCTATTTAGCAAAACAATGCATTTCTATCTTGGCATTCAGATATTTTGAAGAGCAAACTCCTCCCACTAAAGATCTCAGTGGTATATATGTAAACTGCAACCAAGCAAACCCATTTCTAACATCTACAAAACTTGGGATCAAAGGACCAAAAGGATATACATGCCATAGTTCTAAAATACTTAAAGGCCAAAATTCCTGCTAAAAAAACTGTTACATCAAATATAGTTTTCTCTGTCCACCTTGATAAGTATGTCATTGAAATAGCCTAGAAAACCAGGTTCAAATTAAGAATTCCAGACACCTCAGTTGGACATGTGAATATGGCAGTACAGGAAGAGCGGATCTCTATCTCAGTGCTGTGTTAGTTTCCTTCTCTTCCTATGCCAATTCCATCCTGCATCACTGGAGCCTCATATGCATATCCAAACTCTGTCTGTACCTCATGCAGATCCACCTTTTGGCCACAAATCAAGCTTAGGGATGTACATACCTGCTTCAGGACAAATGCAGGGAAGAGGCCCACACACGCTCCAAAGTGGGCTTAAGGCATATGGATGGATAAGAAAAGGCTGAAGGCTTGGTTACCTGTTCATAGTCTAAAGCAAAGGCACATCTTCGAAGTGGGGAGGCTGCTTGGCCTATACAATCCTCTCCTTGTGGGGAATGACAGCAGAACAATCTAAAGTACAGAGCCTAGTGCAGGGCTTCCTTTCCCCTATTTAAGGGCAGCATTTTCATCAAATATATAGAGGGAACCTAATTCTAGATATCATAGGGGCTCTGTCTCCTAAAACACCTGAAACCCAACTTTCCTTGAACTTTTGATTTTTCATTCTAATTCTGACTTTATGCAATAAAAAATAAATACAAGATGAACAGGAAAGCAGCTTGCTAATTTGTAAGAAAGGTACCCTGACCCTAAGAGTCACCTGCAGCCTGTCTTTTAGAAAGGGACGATCACTATTTTTCAAAACAATAAAATCTGACCCTCTTCCTTAATTTCCCTTTAAGGAAAGTACTTTCCTTAAAGAGTTTTTAAAATTTTTGAGCAATTTTAATTTAACCTATGTGACTCATTTACACATACCATATAAATGCCAGTAAGAAAAGATATTCTCAATTGTGGTGATAATGTTTTTTTCTAAAACTATAGGTCATTTATAATTATTAGAAATATTAAATAGATTTTTAAAATTCAATAATAAAACTAAAATGTTTCATTAAAAAATTTCTACAGGCAAAGTCTTATAGGTAATAAGAGAAAAATCAATTTTACTATAATACTGTTGCATCAGATACTCTAGCAAGTAAGTTACTCCTTGCAATGTTTTGTTAAGATGTCTACTTTGGAAAATTACTTTGGAGTTACTTACTATAAATGAAATCTTCATAACAAATTTGTAGGGTAAGAAGTTGTATAAATTCACTATCAGGAATATTTTCTTTCTGCAGATTTTCTATTCATTAAACATTAAAAAAGCAGTGAAGACAATACTTAATTTTCTTTAATTAAGCAGTTGAGATAGCAGGTATTAAATTTTTATTCTGTGACATTATCATTATTTGATTAGATGACATCAATCATAATCTATTACTGCTTGTTCAAAACTCCCTGCAACATTATAGTACCATCCATCATTTTATTTAACCTGTTATAGGAATGTACCTTAATTAAGAGGCAGTATAGCACACAAAGGTTAAGATTACAGGTGCCAGAACAAGTTTGCCAGGATCAATACTGGCTTTACTAATTTTTTGCCATATGACTTTGGAGAGGAATTATTATTTTTCTATCCATAAACATGGGGATGACAAGGGTCTCACCTCCAAGAACTGCTGTAAGTATTAAGTGACATAATATAAAATCCATAATACAACAATTGCAATATAATGAGTTTGATAAATATTAGCAATTCTACCTAACCATACAAAGTATTAGCATATTTACTTATTTTAAAACAAGGCATTTCTTCTATTTTACTTAACTGTAAGCTTATTTTGAATAGAGTACTGGAAGAGTTAATAAAATATAGGAAGTTTAAACACACTGAGAGATAGGGAATCAAACTTAAGAATAAAAAAACCCAAAACCTAATTGCTTAAGGATTACAAAATACATGCTATCCATGCTATCTGCTATGCACAGAGCACAGAGAACACTAACAACAACTTCAATCTGAGCCTAATCTCAATGTCACAAAAATAACCACTCAGAATTAGAGGTCCTGATCAGAAGCTGAGCTTTTTTATACACAATAAAGAGAGTAGTTGCAAGGATGTGTTTAATCCTAAACAACAATGAAGAGATCAGTTAGTGTTTGTGTAACAGTACTCACCTGTAATGAAACGATCTAATGGCATCACAGGAGCAACATGAGGTGTGGCTTGTGTAATAAGAAGATTTATCAGATCTTGTTTAAAATTTTTCAATGTAAGCAATGCTCTTGCAACAAGACCACCCATAGAATGGCCAATTATAGCCACACTTTTTGGAGCAAATTCTTGACCCTATTTTAAAAAATTACCAAAGCAAATTAAGGCTTAGTAGCATAATAAAAATATTAAATATTCTTCTCTACATATGAACAATTTTATGGAAAAAAAGAAAAGCTATTTATATAACATACCATCATAAGATAAAGAAATACATTTTCATAATACTTACAATTTCCTAATACTTCAAATAGTATACATACCATTTTGTATTTTATTAAACATTTTTTAATAGTTATGCCTTTGTTTTCTGAACCAAAATCAGAACACTTAGTCTAGCAAATCATTTGTTATATTGGATGTATGTACAAGGTATAATTCTATTTGGTATACACCAGAATGTTAGATTTTAAAGGCCTTCAGAAGTCATATCATTTATTTAAAATTGGAAATATAACAAAAAAGCCAGAACAATTATGAAAGTTATAGTGATATACTACCTTATTAGGCTGATATATCACATCAAATTATTTTTCTACTGTGCTCCTAGATTTAATAAAGAAACCAGCATTCCATAATATTTATTCACTGGCAATTACCTATTTTGTTTTTTAAATAATGATTTTTTAAAAACCTTTTCTGTCTCTACATAGTATTCTCCCTTATAATAAGCAGACATGCTCACTGCCCTCTACATTAATGCTTCATCAATGCCTTCTCTCCTGTTACTATTAGACCTAGTGCAGAAAAAAGTTAATACAGTAGGCTGGAAACCACTATCTTTAGAATGGACTGCATATAAGGTCAGTTCTGGGCTGAGGTCTGGGATCACAGATTTGGGGACGGTTTTCATCATTCTCTAAACAATAAGAATGTCTCTCTGTGCTGAAACTGTCTAGTAAACTTTATAGTTTATGCACAATACTTGCTGTCCTTCTGGTTTGCATTCTGATATATGGTAAGCACAGGGTCTGTGAGCAGACTCTAGAGAACAGAGCGCTCTTGCAGAAAACACTTCCTATATGTCACAATTTTTTGTATCTGTTATGACTCTCCTGCAAGAGGACTTTTGAAGCTTGCCCCTAGTTTCATGCAGACTTGATCCCATCACTTTTTTTCTTTGCTGATTTTGCTCTGGATTCTTTCACTGTTAATAAATCATAACCATGAATACAAATCTAAGCAGAGTGCTGAGTCCTCCTGGAAAATCACTGTATCTGGGAATGGTCTTGGTGATCCACAACACAACACTGATCTTAGCAAAAGTCAAATCTTTTTTTTTTGACAAATATATATGTGCTCTGAGACCTACCCTTCTGGCTTTCTCAAACACAACATTCCAGAAACTCTTCTCGTGTCATTTTCTCCCTTTCTACTACAATAGATCATTCTTGCTGGTATATAAACGTGCTGTTTTTCTCCCTTAAGAAATAAAAACAGGGCCTCCCCGGTGGCACAGTGGTTGAGCACTGGGTTGCGAAGCTGTCCCAGCCTCTGCAGCGCCAGCCGGAGGAGGGTCCCACATGGCACTCAGACCTCTCCTGCTGTGCCCGGTGCTCCCCTCAGCAGTGTACCTCAGTCCTTCTGCCTGCTCTGCTCCCCGCTCTGGCTCTGGTGAATTCTCTCACCCTCCCGTGCTTCTGACTGTACCCAGTGCTTGTATGTATAAATAAATAAATAAATCTTAAAAAAGAAAAACAACTCTCTTTTACTTTAACTATCCCCTTAGCGAACACATCTTTCTCTACATCTTTTTACAGAAAAATTCTTCAAAAGCAGTTGTCTGTACAGTATTTGTTGCCTCCAATATCTCAACTTCCACATATTCTTTTTTTTTTTAAATTACAGTATTTTTTTTTAAAGATTTATTTATTTATTTATACAAGCACTGGGTACAGTCAGAAGCGCGGGAGGGTGAGAGAATTCACCAGAGCCAGAGCGGGGAGCAGAGCAGGCAGAAGGACCGAAGTACACTGCTGAGGGGAGCAGTGGGCACAGCAGAAGAGGTCTGCGCGCCATGTGGGACCCTTCCTCAGTGGTCGGGGAGCAGCCGGGAATCTAACCAGCACTGCAGAGGCTGCGGGCAGCTTCGCAACCCAGCGCTCAACCGCTGCGCCACCACAGAGGCCCAACTTCAACATATTCTTAAATCTACTCCAATCAGGCTTTCACCCCCAACACTCTTGCAAAACTGCTTTTATCAACTCACCAAGATACTTATGGACAATTCTCAATCCTCATTTTACTTGACCCATAGACAGCATCTGACAAAGCTGATCACTTCTTCTGTTTTTTCGCCAGGACTACCACAGTGGGATATCAAGGGAGAATATGGCTTATCCAGGGGGTAGCAGTATTATTTTATCCCTGACACTTTAGAACTGCTGGCACAGAATGATTTTTAGCTGTTTTATTCTTCTTTTAATTTCTTTGAAGACATATATTCTTCCTATTCTTGTACCTGAGGTGGACACACCCCACCACTGCTTCTCTGGTATAACAATGTCTTGTAGTTTCTTTGCCCTGTGCATATGTAGCGGCACATTCAAATGCTGAAAAAAGCAAATTTTTAGAGCTCTTACCTAGCTCTCTTCATTATCACACCTTACCACCTTACTCCACAAATCTAGCCACTTCATAGTCCAAAATTTCAATTTCTGCCTTATTTAGCTATGTGATAACGGTAACAATGTGCTCTGCTTATCTCTACCTTCTCCCTTAGTATACCCCTATTTCCTCATGGTCTGGAAAATACTTCTCAGCAGAAACCCAGAGCAATAACAGCGCTCACTTCATGTGTTTTCCTTCTTTCAGGTATCAAAGTCCTTTACTGTTTGGTTATCCAACACCTGAAAGTGTGCTTCAGATATCTTGACTGGTTCAATAATTGTTTATATAGAAAGGTGGTCTACTCTACTACCAGTTATTTACTCATAACTAAGCAGAAACTCACACTAATAGTTTTTAGGAAATACATCGCATTCCCAGTTTATATATAAAATTTTTAAAAAATTTCCCCCACAGGAAGTTTGTGGTAAACTCAACTTGAATTTCAAAAACCACCAATTTAAAAACAAGACACCAGACATCCACAAAAACAAAACAAAACAAAACAAAACAAAAAAAAACCTTGTGCCATCTTTGCTTCAACTTCTAATAACTAGTAAATGATTAAAAATATGCTGTTGGGCCTCCCTGGTGGCATAGGCGGTTGAGCGTAGCACTGTGAAGCTGTCCGCAGCTTCTATAGCGCGGGTTCGATCCTGACCGGCTGGGGAAATACCCACATGGTGTGGCAGGCCTCTCCTGTCTTGCCCACTGCTCCCCTCAGCAGTGTATTTCAGTCAGTTTGCCTGTTTTGTTCACCGCTCTGTCTCTGGTGAATCCTCTCACCCTCCTACACATCTGCCTGTTCCCTGGTTCTCGTATACATGAATAAATAAGAAAAAAAAATCTTTAAAAAAAAAAAGTCTAAGTCACTTTTAAAAACAATGACTGCTAATAAGTTGACCACTATTGATTTGCATGCTTATCTCATACCTTATAGAGTTTGAGTATTGTTTTAATACATTCATGTACAAACTTGGTCTGCTTCTCAAGACTTCCACCATACAGTGCCACCAGTTCTTCATTGAAATTCACACTGAAGAAGTCAAAACGGTACTTGAAGTCAATATCTTCTGCTTTTCTAAGCGCAATGGAGCCAACAGAACGAACTGCAGAGAGCACATTAAAAATCTTTTTATTTCAGGCACTGTTGTTTCAAGGCCTCTTAACTTCATACCACACCCTCAATATAAACAAGTTATATCTAGGTGTGCTAGGGAAGGTAAACAAAAGAACAGGTCTGCCCATTGACCTGACAGCTGGGAGCTGGCAATTAGAGGTTGCTCAACCTCTACCAACCCCCAGAAATGCAGATTTCACTTGCTTCCCAGAAGCTGCCTAAGGACTGTGCCATAATTGAGGATTTAAATGAGAAAATTCCTACAAGAAACATCTGCCTATCACTTGGTTCAGATACTCATTCTTAATTTGTCTCTTTTTCTTACATATGATATCCAATCCAGCAGTAAATCCTGTCATGCTCTACCTTTTAAATATATCCCCAATCCAGCATTTTCAACATTTCCACCATACCCTCCAATTGAAAAACCATAATCTCTTATTAAAATTACTTCAATAATTTCCTAACTACTCGTCCCACTTTATTTATAGTTTTTGCTTTGTAAGCCCTATTAATGGGATTTATATTGTGAAATGATTACATTAATTGGCATTAAAAATTACTGTATGGTTTAGCAAACAAAATACATGTTTGCCATTTCATTTTTTTAACATATACAACTCATTTACTATACAAATCATCATGCAACCAATTCAATGACATTTAGTATATCCACAGAGTTACGGATCATTTCTGCAGTCTAACTTTAGACATTTTTAGACAGAATCACTCCAAAGAGAAAACCCTGTATTTATTAGCAGTCACTTTCATTCCTCTTCTCCTACTTCCCGTCTACTCTATGCACTTGCCTATTCTGAACATTTCTATAAATGTAATCATATAATAATATAATATTCAGTCTTGTATGACTGGTTTCTTTCACTTATAATGTTTTCAAGCTTATCCACATTGTAGCATGTAACTCATGTATCAGTAATTAGTTTCTTTTTATCACTGAACAATATTCTATCATACAGATAAATGACATTTTATTCATTTATTCATTAAGTGATGAACAATTGGGTTGTTTGGCTATTATGAATAGTGGTACTATGAACATTTGTCGACAATATTTTGTGGAGGTGTATGTTTACAATATTTTGTGGCGGTGTATGTTTCTTGGGTAGAAAATTAGGAGTGGAATTGCTGGATTACATAAGTCTATCTTTAATATTCTGAGGAACTGTCAAACTGTTATCCAAAGCAGCTATATCATTTCTTCACATCCCCAACAATACTGGTTAATATCTGTCTTTTAGATTACAATTACCCTATTAGGTATAAAATGGCATCTCATTGTGGTTTTGATTTGTATTTCCTGATGATTACAGATGTTTATTATCTTTACTACTTCCACTCATGCCCCTCTACAGCATATTCTCAACACAGAAAATCCAGAGTGATCGTTTTCTTCAAAATAAATCAGACCTAGGCACCTCCCTGGTGGTGCAAGGGGTTAAGACGCAACCTATAAAGCTGTCCGCAGCCCCTGCAGCATGAGTTCAACCCCCTAGCTGGCCAGGGTGTAACCCACATGGCGCAGCAGACCTCTCCTGACTCACCTACTGCTCCCCTCAGCAGTGTACCTGGGTCAATCTGCCTGTTCTGTTCCCCACTCTCTCTGGTGAATCCTCTTACCCCACACACCTCTGGCCTGTACTCCAGTTCTTATATGCATAAATAAATAAATCTTAAAAAAAAATCAGACCTACCATACCAGTTTGGTGAAAATTTAAAAATCTGATAATTCCAATGTAAACAATGTGGCACAAAGTACAATGTACGGTTTCTGGCAGTATGAGTTAGCTATCACAAAGAGTAGTAACAAAAGGGCACACATTCCTGTAACATGAAATTAAGCTCCTATGATATACATTATACAGAAATACGGGCTTACATGCTACAAGATAGAACGTTCATTATTTTTAATTGGAAATAAACATAAACAACATATATGTCCAAAGACAGAATGTTTAAACTACAATACAGTGCAACAATTACACAGTGAATAAATGAATGAAACATAGCTCATATGAAAACTTGGATGAATTTTAAAACCATTTACTGGAAGAAGCGAAAATACATACTGAATGATTATATTATGAACTTTATAAATAAGTCCCAAATAAGCAGATTGTGTTAAAGACACAAATTTAGTTGCCAAACCTGTAAAGAAAGTCAAATTTAGGACTATGGTTACATCTAGCAAGAGGGGAGAGAGTTTTAATGACAAAGGGGCACACAGAGTATTCTAGGTCAAGCTTCTAATTTCTTGACTCGGGTTTTGGTTTCACGGGTATTCATTTTATAAAAACTTTAACTGAATATCTGTATTTTATGTTAATTATGCTTATGAGCATTATATTTAAAATAAATCTTTAACAAAAATATGAGTATATTATTTCCTATCCAATATCCTCTAACAGTCTACCATCATAGTTAGAACAAAATTCAAAGTCTTTTCCACAATTTACATGACGCAGCCTGTGTTTTCCCATCCTCATCTCTCTTCACTTTTTCTAGTCTCGGTGGCCTTAAATACACGAAGCGTAATAGTCACATACCTTAGCCTATTACTGTACTGAGGCCTTTTGCAGAAATTTCATTTCCTATAGTGGCTTTTCATGGTCACTTTAAACTAGCCACCTTTTGACTCCGTTTTCCTCTATTTTATAATCAGGGTTTTTTTCCCCTTCAAATTTTAAATATTAGCATCTATGTTTGTTGGCTCTCTTCCCCACAAGAATATCAGTTTGATGAGGAGGGAGGGGGAGGGGGACTTTGTCTTGGTCTGTTCTGGGTCACCAATACCTGAATATGGCCTGGTTCACAATAGGTATCCCATAAATATTTGTTAGATAAAAAAACACATACGCAGTTATACTAAATGTTGAAATAACCCTATTCTCATTATAAAAGAATGTAGCATTTTATAACCAAAAAAGTAGATTTTAGCTCAAATTATTTCCAGATTATTTGGCAGTTATGTCAAAAATAACTGCTATATCTCCAGCCAACATTCAATTTGGAATCTGTATATATATATCTTCCCTGCCCTCATTTTTCTGTGTTCCCCTCAGTACTTCTAGATTTCTCTAAGTTAAACAGCTTCAAAAGAAAGAAACCAATCTCCTATTTTGTTTAACAAAATACAAACCACTTGGTTACTTTGCTAATCAATATTGCAGGTTCTATTCTCAGTGCCCTCCGTTTCTAACATAAATCTCTTCTTTGATTTCTGAATGCTTATATCATCTACTTATCCTATCCCACGCTATCTTATTCTTTTTCTTCTTTTTACTCTTTACAAAGTGGTCTTTATCTATTCTTTCCTATTCTCGTGTTCTCACATGTACTTTCTCTCAGATTAAATGTCACACATTTGTGTTTCCTTGTGTGCCTGACTCAGCATTTAACAGAGAGTATAAATCTGATAAATTCTTCAGTTGAATTTCATAGCTTATAAAATTTACTTCTCAGACTTACCTTGCTTATAACTTCCAGCATTACCAGGAAGAAAGAGAACTGGAATACCTGTCAAAGGAAGAATTTTGTGTTCTTCAGCATAGGATCCTTCTCCATAAAGATATAATTCATATGCAGGATAACGTTTTGCCAGCTTCTTTGGAAGTTCTATTTTCTACAGCAATAAAAATGCAATGTTATTTTAATCTGTTATATTAATACAACTCAACCCCATTGTACTCAGCTCTCATTATACAAATTTCAAATATTTACATATAGAAGGATTACTGATAAAACCGTACCAAGTGCACAAAGCAAGTTGTGCTTTCAGTTTATTCATATGGACAATTAGCCTTGAATTATATGAGTTTTGAGCCATGCAGTTTCCAGAAAAGCATATAATGAGAGTATGTGAAATTCTAATGAATACAAAGTACTCAAAATAGCCACTGACCACGGGAGAAAAACACTGGTAAATGCAAGCCACTTACATGTTAACATCATTAGAAATGAATTTAATTTAGTATCATTTTATACTTAGAAATGATGAAAGTTTTCCATTATCAAATCAATTATTTTTTGCCATTTTAAAATGTTTTATAAAGCACTCAGGTCCAACTATATATGTCAGCTGTAACATCATTTAAAGGAAAGGAAGTATATTTTATAATACAGCTTTCTAACCTCTCACCTTAATATGCTTTTTACCTACGATATGCTTAACAAATTAATCTGATCCTTATAGCCATGCTTTAGTCAAGGCATATATTCTCTTTTGCCATAAACATGCCAATAAATTAGCATCTGTCATAGTTTTCATGGACCAGGTGTATGATTTGTCAGCAAGTTTTAAGTTACTTTGCAATTCATATTACTGAATACCAAGTGAGCCAGTAATTCACATTTTTTTTTTCAACAAATGTAAACTAGGTCTTAATGTCATTCCCAAATGGTAGGCATTTGTGAAGGTGGTAGTAATAACAAATAAGCTCTTCTTCTGTTCCTTTTCTTTAAAAAGACAACAACCATTAAAAATGAAACCATTGGGGGGGGGGGGCCTCGAGAAGGAAGTAGGATCAAAACAAGGGTGGTGGGAATTGTATGGGGACTATAAAGGGACCATAACCAAGATGAAAATGCATACATTGTACAAAAATGAAAAATGATGTAAAAAAATATAAAATAAAAAAATGAAACCAGTTACACTGAACAGATTTTAAGTAGACACTAATGGATTTAATGATGGAGCAGTGTTGTACATGTGCTTGATAAAAATTTTAACAACTGAATTTTTAAAACTGTAAATGGTACAACCTGATTTTAAAATTGGCGAAGGATCTAAATAGACATCTCGCTAAAAGAGACATATAAATGACCAACAGACACATGAAAAAATGTTCTCCATTGTTTATTATTAGAGAAATGCAAATCAAAACCACAATGATATATTACCTTCCACCTGTTATAACGGCTATAATCAAAAGGACAAGAAACAACAATTATTGGCAAGGATATGGAGGAAAGGGAATCCACATACACTATTGGTAGGAATACAGATTGGCACAGTCATTAAGTATGGAAGTTCCTCAAAAATTGAAAACAGAACTACCATATGACCCAGCAATTCCACTTCTGGATATTTATTACAATACAAATTTACTAATCGAAAAGATATATGTACCCCTATGTTCACTGTAGCATTATTTACCATAGCCAAGATGTGGAACAACCTAAGCATCCATTAATGGCTGACGATACAAATGTGGTATAAGTACACAGTGGAATACTATTCAACTATTAAAAAGTTAAATTTTGCCATTTGCAAAAAAATGGATGGGACTTCAGGGACTTACACTAAATGAAACAAGATGGAAAAAGACAAACATTTTTATGATTTTACTTACGTAGAATTCACTTACATGTGATTTCAAATATAAGTGATTTCACTTATGTGGAAGACAAATAAGTAAAACAAATGACCAAAAACAAAAACAAAAACAGGGACTCCCAGGTGGTGCAAGGGGTTTAGCACAGTGCTGCAAAGCTGTCTGCAGCCTCTGCAGCACCAGTTTGATCCCCACAAGGCACAGCAGACCTCTCCTGACTTGCCTACTGCTCCCCTCAGCAGTGTATTTCAGTCTATCTGCGTGTTCGGTTCCCCACTCTGTCTTTGGTGAATCCTCTCACCTCCCGCACCTCTGGCCTGTACCCCAGTTCTTGTATGCATAAATAAATAAATCTTTAAATAAATAAATAAAAAACAGGCTCTGAAATTCTGACAACAGAATGGCGGTTACCAGAGGAGAAGGGGATAGCGTGGGTAGAACAGGTAGAGGGGGTCTATTAGATGGTGGTAGAAGAACCTTTGGTAGCAGTATGGTGCAGTATATACAGATGTCAGGGTATGAAGATGTATACCTGAAACATAGAGTGTTTATATCAATGCAATCTCAATTGAAAAAAACACAAACCTGTAAATGGTAACAACTACTGAAAAACCTGACTGTTCTAAAAACAGAAATCTGATAATTCACGCACATTTCTGAATATTTCTTTGACAATATTACCATAAACAACCTGTGTCAACAGCAGCATGAAAGTATCTTTAGAGACTGTAAGCTTATTAAGATACTAGCAACTTTGTCTCTTCAACTTAGTTAAAACACAGAAGTACCAACACCTTATTATGTGTTTTATACAAGTGCACGTATTTCAACTCAAATTAGCCCCAATATTGATTATGTACAGTAGACAATTTAAAAATGAATAGGACATAATATTTTGTTTCTTTAGGTACAAATTAAAAATTTAAGAAAAAAAAAAACAGGTGCAATAACAACGAAGGTTTCTTAACTCTTACCAGTTTAGTACAGCATTTGATATAACAATACACATATATTAAGTCACTATTCTCTTTAGAACAGTAGCTTAACAGTTTTGAACTAGTAGAAAATTAACTCAGAACAACAGGAAATTAACAAACACAGGTAAAATTATCTGATTCTCTGCAGATGGAAATACAAGCAAAAGAATGTATGTGGTATCTTTCATAATGTTATTATGAAAGCAGTTTTAGTGAAAAAGCATACATCAAAATATTAATGCATAAATATGGGGTAAGAAAAAGTATGGAGATGGGGAAAAAAAGTAGAACCAAAAGAACTGGGCATCATAGGCAAATGGGGAAACTGCATTTCCAGAGAGTTCAAGTTGGGAGGGAGTAGCATGAAGACATAAGAAAGATATTGACCAGCTGGAGGAAAGAAAAGGTGAAGTCACAAAGAAAGAATGCTGATGAAAAAAACGAGGGTCAGGGGATTTAAAAAGAAAGCATTTTTAATATATATATTCTTTTAAATAAGTAATGCTACTCATCAAAATACCTTTATGATCAATTTTTCTTAAGCTATATATCTTTTATGAACTAAAACTGAGAAATAAAAGGTTAAGCTCCATAATTAATCAAAAAGGAGCAAAAAGGATTTTGATCAAAATGAGCAGTTTTTAATGATGTTACAAAAAACTCTCAGCCCTTTGAAGACCCTACCCCTAAAAATACTCCTAAGGAATTCAGATTGTTCAAAATACCCAGGGACAACCAAATCTTTCAGACTGGTCTCTCTCCCTTTCATAATCTCCCTGCTACAATTCATACTTTACACTGCTGCCATCAAGAAATACCTGTTAAAATATAGACATCATGTGCCATTTCATTGCATATAGTAAAAGCTTAAAAGATCGTTATCTCACTTTAATTATTCTTACCCACTTTCCTCTACATGCCACATTTTAAGTTTTTTAATGTGTTTCAAAATTCAGGACTGAATAGGGTATATTGAAAAGGCACTCTCATCGCCTATCCTCTAGCCATCCACTGGTTGCCGAAAGCAACCAATGTTACCAGTTTGTGTATTCTTATAGGGTTATTTTACATAAAATATAATCAAATATGTGTGTAAGCCATTTTCTCCTTTTTACATAAAAGTTAACATACTACACATACTCCTTATGCTATGTGTCCCGGTGCCTTCCCACCTTCACATATGCTATTCTTTATTCCTGCAATTTTCTTTTTTCTCTATCTATGATCTCTCTCGCTTGCTCGCTCTTTCTTGCTCTCTCTCTCTCTCTCTATATATATATATATGTATGTACATACATACACACACACACACTCACACACACCCCTCTGTAGCCTGACTCACTACTTCTCAACAATTTTTGACTACTCAAAAAGAAACTTGGATGCTCTTTTTGAAAAGTCTTACACATACTCTTTTATAGTAAAACTATAGATAACATTTAGCACATAATATTTTAACTATTCATTACTTTCCTGTCTTCACCCATTGTACTATAAAGACATAAATTATAGGCACATGGTCTGATTCATCTCACCTATACCCAGAATCTAAAATATACCTGATATAATCATTCAATAAAAGATTCACAAAATTAATATCACATTTCATAATAAAATATAAGATTCATCTGCTGCAAAGTTAACACTTTCATAGAGGGGAGCCATTAGGTCACATATTTGAAAACAGTCAACCAAATTACTTACTGTATGGGACAAAACAACATGAATGTTTCCTCTCAAATTCTACAATTTGCCTAAAACTGTGTGCTACCAATTAAAAGCTGTCCTTGCTGTCAGAAGAGGCAATGGGCTTTAAATAACACAGTGCATTTTTGCCTGGTAGGTTTGAGATATGTTCATGAGATTTTCAGTTAATTCCCAATAAGGAATCTAGGAAAACCAGAGATAAAGAATAAAAAGAGAAAAACAATTTTAAATACAAAACTTCAATTTTATAGAGTTTCAAATTCCTGTTCTACCTTTTATTTTTAAAATGGGAGAATAAAATTGAGCAGGGCTTCAACTACCTTTCATTTTTTTCTTTACTTTCCTTTGCAGCTCACTACAGAATCCACAAATAAACAGTAAAAAAAAAGATGAAAAGTATTATGAAAGGAAACCCAATGACTAGGATTTCCCGTATGTTGGCTATCAATCTGTGAACAAAGAAGAGAATTAACTATAAAACATAATTTAAGGAGAACGCATACACTGTACTAAAAGGTGGAATGATGTAAAATATATATAATTTTAAAAAGACTAGAAAGGAGAAAAATAAAACACAATTTAAAGTGAACAATATGTAAAAAATGTTTATAACACCTTTTTATTCATTAAAAACCATTGGACATCAATAGAATGTCCTCAGTTATCCAAAAATCTTCATACACTTGAAACTACTCACTTTCAAAAGCAGGTGTTAATTGCATTTGTAAAATAATATGACCTGGTATGCAAAATAAAAGAGTCAAATACAAATTTTGCAGTGAATTATCATAGTTTTTAACATCATAAAAATAAAAATGTGAATCAACAACTTCTACCACTGCACAGCTGTATTAACAAATTATTTAAACAGAAGCATAAAACCTCAAAAAGGCAATTTGAACTGAAATAACTAACAACAAAAAAGGCTAAACAGCTCTTTTACATTAGCTACACTAATTCTGTTTCTTTCCAGTCAATTTTATGAGGCATCAAATGCATCTGTAAGGTCCATATGCTTTGTTCCCTACACTAAGCAATTTCTACTACTGAAATATTAAAATAGCTTCAATAATTGTGAGCAACCTAAAACTAAATGGGAATAATAGTGTATTGTTCCAATATAATTTTATTTAAATCACTCTTCAATACAGTACAGGTTATACAGGTTCTATTTTCACTTAAAAGAATAAATTAAATGCCCAACATATAGCCACTGATAAACATAAATCAGTTTAGAAACTAAGAGACAAAAGTAACATGTTAAAATCTCCTTCCATAGTATCTGACAGCAAATGTTTCAACTGCCTTAAATATTGCTGCAATACCATGGTAAGGGTCTCAAAATAAATGAAACCTAACCTAGAATTCTGCCCATGGGAAAGGATGCTCTTCAGCAATTTAAACCTTAAGTAGTTTTAATATTTAAATAATAGCAGCATGGTCAAATAATAAGCTCCCTCCTAATGACCTGTACACAGAAGCAATCAGGATCTGCATTCTTCACCTTAGAGAAAAAAAATCTACTGTGGTTTTTAAAAGTATATTTAAAATGCATTTTTATCAATAGTATTACAGTACATACACTTTCACGGTACAGAGTATCCATACATATTCCATAATACTCTGGTTTGGTTTAGAAATTTTAAAAAATCATTCGAGAGAAATTTCCTTGGACAGCTGTGCAATTTGTCACCACCTCTTTTTACATCTGGTCATGAATTCTAGATTCTACTATGCAGAACTGATGAAGCAACTGTGATTGAGAATATTCAAAAGGTAAAGGAAGAGGTGGGAAAGAGAAAAGGGGAGAATGAGAGAGAGAGGGAATAAGCCAGGCTGCGAGAGGGAGGAGAAAAAGGGAGAGGCGGGGAGGGCAGGGAGGAGAAGGAGAGAGAAGCGGAGAGACGCTGCAGCCAGGTCTCTCTTAAATTGCAAACACAGTGAGAAAACACAAATAACACCAGGGAACGGATTCTGCACGCAACTGGAAAGAGGCGACAGGCAGAAACACAGGCAAGCTTGCACATGCACGCTTGCACATGCACGGATCCACACCCCCAAAACAGAAGCTGTGCACAATCTTTACGGGAGGGAACGTCAATAGTTTTCCAGGTACTAACTCGTCAGGTTAGCCTTTCACACAGAGGTGAAAACCCTGGAACTTCTAACACAGCCTTGGCAACTATCGAGTCAATAAATACACACTCTGCAGAAACTCGGTGCCTTTCTAGAAAAGCGAGAGTTGACAAGCGAAATCACTGGGAGGAGGTGGAAGAATTTAGGCGCGTGCGATGCAAAGCAGGGTCCAGGGACACCTGTTAAAGCAGGAAAGGCGGGGAAGATGGGGTTTGGGTTTCGGGGCTCAGGTTTGTTCGGAGGGTGAGGGTGGCTGGGCACCGCCATTCAGAAGAGCTTGTGTTGGGGGGATCTGGGATCGGAAAGAGGGGGTAGAGGGATCAAGGAACAACTAGGAGCGGGCGAACGGTCCGGAAGGATGCTAGGGGACCGTCTGTCAAACACCCCAACTGAAGAGGGGGTACAAAGGGCAGTCGAGGGGGGCCGTAGGTGATCTCCGGAGTCTTCGGAGGCGGAGAAATCAAAAGCGAGAGTTGGGATGTGGGGCGGGAGAGACCAGGGGTGAGGGGGAGCCCAGGCAGGGGAAACCCACAGAAGGCCCAGGCACGAGGGGCACCGGTCTCGAGCGCCCAGGTGAGGAGAGGGCGTAACCCCACCTGATACTCCGGGTACTCAAACATGTAGCTCATACTGCACTTGTTCTCTTCGAAGCCGAAGAAGACGTCCCACAGCCCCAGGGTTGCCATGAAGATCATGAGGACATAAAATGCCAGGTTCCAGAGGTTGACTGAGGGAAGAAACATGGTGCCGCCGCTACCGCTGCGACCGCCGCCGCGGGCCCCCCAGTCCTGACAGAGCGAGCAGGAGGACGCCCCGCCACCCGCGCCAGCGCCCGAGCGGAGCCGGAGCCGCGCGCGCCTGCGCCGACGCCCGCCCGGCCTGCGCGCCCGCCCCGCACTGCGCCTGCGCGAAGCCGACCCGCGGCGCCTCCTGCCGGGCGTCCGGCTGAGGAGGGAGGCGGCGCTGGCGGCCGGAGCTCGGATCCGTGCCGAGAGGGATGGGGAAGGCGGAGAGGGCTGGGCTGGAGGGCGAGGGGAGAGCGGGAGGAGGCGACGGGAGGGAAAGGCATTGAGAGGGCGGGGGGGAAGAAAGGGGGCTGGAGATGGATGGGCTGAGCGCGGGAGCCCTGGGGGGGCAGGAGAGGAAGGAAGTGGGGGTGACCGTCGGGGCGGGTGGGTTCACCTGAGGAGGCGGAGGCGATTGAAGATGTAGGGCGAGGGCAGGGGCGACCTCCGAGCCGTCCGCTGGCTGGTCGCACGCTGTCCCCTCTCCCTGCGCGGTTTGAGAATCCTGCCCGTTCGATTTAAAACGCCCAGGCCGCTGCAATTTCGGCTCTGCCCGAGGCGACAGGGCACGATCGCGGGTCTCCAGACCAGTTAGCTTGGAAGGAACAAATGGTCCCCCCCCCTCTGACCGCTAAAGTCCGCTCAGTAGGTTACAGCGCTTAAAAGCATCCGCTCATTTAAAAAAAAAAAAATTCAGATCGACACAATTCTGTGCTTGGTGTGAGACGAAAGCCTGGATCACAAAAGCATCGATAGTCTCTAAAGAATGTTACCCAAATTTCCATTAACACCGACGATTCCCAGCCCGTATTTGGCGTGAGCAGTTTGATACTGACTGGCTTGCTCCCCAGAACCTCCTCCTCTGGGAAAATTTCGCTCAGACTCTAAAGTGACTTAATTTCTCTGTGTTAATGCACAGAGAAAGGGCTAAAATGCAGCTTACCAGCTTCAAAACACGAGAACACTGAAGGAGACGGAATGTGATGAGGAGAAAATCAGGGAATCACTCTTTAAAGCTGACCCAACAGCTCTGTGTGTGTGTGTATATGTGTGTGTGTGGGGGGGGGGGGTGTCCTAACTGCAAATCCCCTTTAGAATTATTTTTGGCACTGACTGAAATTTAGTTCTCTTGGAGGAATTATGTTATACATAAAAATAGAAAACATTTTTTCTGGTAGCTGGATATTATCAGAGAGAAATGTCTGCCCCTTATTTCTCCTAGCATAGCAAGACCAGCACAAATAAACCAAAGGTGAATCTACAGTCTCATCCATCCCAGTGCTTCTTAATGCACACATAAATCACTTGGAGATTTTATTTAAAAAGCAGATTCTAAGCAGCAGCTCCAGATAAGGTCAAAATTTTGCACTTCTAGCAAGCTCCTTGGTGATGCCAGTGGTGCTAGTGAAGGACTACACTTTGAGGAACCAAGATTTATCTTGCCTAAAAACTGCTTTTGGGGGAAGCCTGAACATAAAGATAACAAAGCTTATTCTTTTTTTAAGATTTGTTTTATTTATACATAGAAGAGCTGGGGTATAGGCCAGAGGTGCTGGAGGTGGGGAGAAGGGGGTGAGAGGATGCATCAGAGACAGAGTGGGGAGCACAACAGGTGGATTGACTGAAATACACTCCTGAGCAGAGCAGCCTGGGAGGCAGGAGAGGTCTGGTCTGCTGCATTGGGGATCAAACTCATGCCACAGTGACTGGTGATAGCTTCATAGTGCTGAGACTTAATCCCGTGAGCCACCAGGGAGGTCCCACAAAGCTTATTCTTTTGGTGACTTTCATGGGTTGTGGTAACCTGCCGCCTTGACTGTCCATTTATATATGAGTGTAATAGTGGATTCTTTAAAATCTTTTTTTTTTCCTACTTGTTTACTTTTTCCTATCCATTATCCTCCGGGTTTCATTTCTTTTCATATTTAACCTAATCCTATAAGTATTACTTAACCACCTCTGTAAATGGCTGTCAGCTTCTTGAATTCTAGTCTTTGGATCCCATGGTTTACAAACCTCCAAACTTGGTTTAATCTATCTGGCTCTGAGCTCCAATGAAGTGTATCTAGGCACTGCTGAAATAAAGCAACACAATCCTTTAAATTTCTGTTCCGAAATACTTTGTGTGTTTCTGGTAAACTTCCACTCCTATCTTCCAAACCACTACTTTTTAAGCTTCTTACACCATCTTTTCTTCCTCCTCTTTTACTACAGTATTAGTACATAGTTTTCGCTCATATTCATAGAAATAATTTTTATTTACAGGTGCATATTCCTTCAACTTCATTCCCAAGTTTATCATCTCCATCCAGTGTCCTAATTCATTTAATACATCTAAAGAGATTGGAACAATGCCTGGCAAGTCATACTGGCATCATTATTATTCCACTTCACTGTCCTTAGAGGACATCAAAAGTAAATTCCTATTGTTGTGTTTTAGCTCCCACCCCTTCCATTCTCTTTAAGAAATTAATTCTATCAAGTTAAAGTCTGTCATTCTCTCCTGTCTTACCCTCCCTCCCAGAAGCATAAAGATATGCTAAGGTCTTATTTAACTTTAAAAAGAAAATTCCTGTCTGCATCTGTCACTGGTAGCTCTTGCCTTCTCATCTCAGCCAGTGATCCTACAGGTGTGGCCTCTACTTATCTCCAGTTCCTCACCTCTCACCCACACCCTGGCACTATAATTTTTGTCTCCTCCACCTCACTCCAATGAAACTGCTCTTGCAGAGGTAACCATTGACCTAGTTATTAAATCCAAATGACACTCTTCAGTCTTACTTGATCTTTCTCCTACATTTGTCACTTCTTCCTTAAAACACTGTCTTCCCTTTTCTTCTCAGTTTGGTTCTGAACCCTGTTTTCAGTGGGGATGTCTCATTGGGTTAGATCCTCTTTGAATTGATCTCATAACACAGACTATTAATAAAGGTTTAGAGTAAATAGGACTAGAAAAGTAAACTGGAGCCATAACAAAAGTTGACAAAGGAATTTAAGTTTTATATGACAAGTAGAAGGTACTAAACTCTTATGGAATGGGAAGTTTCCTAATTGTTCAGGAAAACCCATTGATCAATAATGTCCAGCTGCTCCTCCGCTCCAGACCAGCTATAAATATAGGCTATGTATTTATACACATTATATGTAGTGTAGTAGTATGTTTCCTAAAGTTTTCTTCAGGCCAGAACAACAACACTAAAGCATATTTGCAAGTGAAAGAATATGAGCTAGTAAAAAATGACTTTAAATAAAGAGAAGAAAGAGAAACACATTTTTTTCAGAAATATAAGAAAGAAAATACTGAGATGGAGACGCTCTTATTAGATGATCTTAATATCTTTGTGTAGTAATAAACATCCAATGTGTGAGAATAGAGCTCAGAGTGCAAGTCAATGCTGCAAAGAGTAAACACATTTGCAAATTACTGTTTTAAGAAGTAAGTGGTCAGTTAATAAGAGGGAATCAGTAGTATTCAACAGTGATCTTCACTCTGGCTCCCCAATTTTTGTGGTCTCGTTAGTTAACATATATCTGTTGCTTTTATGTATCTTTCTCACAAGGCAAAACCAAAATTAGATATTATGTAATCACAAGGCATTTGATTGACTATAATGTGCCAAGCTCCTAACAGGGCTTGGGATAAAAAAGATGAGTGAGAAACACCCGTTTCAAAGAGCTAATAGTTTATAGGTGGGTACAAAACAAACTTCCCCACAATATGGTGTTAGAGATATGAACAAAGGGTACTGGTGCACAAAAATGTTAATAGTAACTGTTAGGGGTAAAGGGATTCCAGAGAATGATTTATATACATTATATAATAGGAGTTCAGGGAGTGTGTATTGAATTATTGACTGAATGAATCAATAGATGAATAAATGGCTATGGTTGGAAGAACTGAGAAGGTGAGCTTCCCACAGTCCCAAGTATAAAATACTTTCCAACACATTCTAAGAAGCAGGCAACTTTCCAGTTCACACAAAAAAACACAAAACTTAAATGTGGCTATTAAGACCACATTTGTCAGTTATTTCATTTAGCTGCATGTTCACATAGTGTTTAGTTTCTTACAGTGTATATCTAGTTTTTTGAACACTAGATAAGTTCCTACAAATTGTGTGAAAGTCAAATATTTGCAAAATTAAATCAGTGAACACTTGTTATTAACAGAGACCCAAGGAACACTGGTGTTCAAGAGATATGTGTTGTAGAACTTCCAATTCTGACACAGTGATTTTGATTTAGGACAAATATCTTGAAATCTTTAGACTTGAAGTTATTTGATTTTTCAAAGTTTATCACTCACATTTTAATTAAATTGAGGTTTTGAAAACTTAATGCAACCTTTCATAAAAGAATAGGCCATATTATTGTCATTTGACAATCACCCCTCAATTGAAATATTTAGTAAATTCATTAATTCATAAGTTTTCCAGAAAATCTTTTAGATTTTCTTAAGTTTCCTTGAGTGTGTGTTTGTTTTATTTATAGGAGGCAAAGAATGTCTTCTTAACACATAGCATCTACCCTCATATTGGCTATTTTTTATACACAGGAAGAAGAAATAGTGATGTCTGGCTTGGGAATCTAGTTGTTTTCTAAAATAAACTTCACCAAATCATAATGGCCTCAATGCATTGCCCTCTCACTATAGGTTTTAAAATAAGATTTATTTCCCCTTTTTCTTTAATAAAAAAAATCCCAAATATATATTAGATTGACTATTAGACACAAAAATTTATCCCACTCAATTGGTTTAAAGTCTTTTCTCATACTTGTTAATTTTATCTCCTAGTACCTTAGATGTAATAGAAATTCAATAGGCACTATCTTTTAATTTGAAAATATCCAATTCTACAGATTATTATCATAAAATCTTACCTTTTCTTTGAAGCTTCAAAGCTTAAAAAGAAAAAAAAATACACAATACCAACAACTCTGTGGCTGCCAATTCTGTTTCCAAGGAAACAGAGTAGTAGATCATCAAAACCAAAATAAGGATTTTCAACCTATTACCCTTTTTTCACCAGT